CTGCGGTATTGAATTCTATTTTCAATTAGGAGACTCTTGCCATACTCTTAAATAAGAGTCCTGATTCTTTGCAGAGCCTTCAGTGGCCATTTGAGAGACTGCTATTTTCGCCCCAAACTTGTATTTGAAAGATGTACACAGTAATCCTAATTGACGATACAAGGTGTTCTGTAATGACCACCCTTACTATCTTCTACTTAAAAAAATTACTTATCAAAATTGAAGCAAAAAACAGTATACTCGTCAGGGTTCACAGTACAATATTCAAGCAAGTAAAAACAAAAACGCTATTGAAATTTAATGAATCACAACACAATTCAGAAAGTTTGGACCGAAACCATAAAATTTTGTTTATTACTTGAGGAAAAAGAGTATCATTTAAAGGTGATTATAAAATACACTTGGTGGTCTTGATGTTTTTTTAGCTCGCTTTCTCCTCTAGTGATTCAACAGACTTCGATATCGTTTCTGTTTTTCTTTCGTAACCTCTAATGTGCATACTTTTTTTTACACTTTATTCTTGACAACGATTCTTTTAATATAAATTAAGGGGTTATTACGGAACACTCTGCATGCATTTTGAATTTAGGAAAATATTTTAGAGCGTGTGCTTATTATTGTAGTTTGGATCCCCTTTTTTGTGCTATGATTTGTTTGCAGCGTAGATGCATTCGATTCTTGTTCATTAAAACTAATCTACAATTTTGAGGTTCAGCATTGATTTTTTTGTTCCACTCTAGTTCATTTCTTTCTTTTTATCTTGAATATGAATTGCTTTTTTTTTTTTTACCACGAGCTGAGAGCAGCATGGACGCATTCAACGATGGCACCGTCAATTGTACATTTAGCAGCTTTAACCCTCAGGTTTTGATTTTAAGACCCTTTTCTACTTTTGAGCACCTTCTACCTTTGATTTTCTTTTGGACATAATAGGAAGTTGAGCATAATATAGTTCAATATAACAAATTTTTCACAACATTTTAAATCATGTAATTTTATATGGCGAATTACAAAATTTGAAAGCAATCGGTCGAATAGTTTCGTAGTTATTGAATTTTAAAAAAAGTCGTATATTTGAATTTCGTTTTTTCGAGAATTATTCGACCGATTTTGGTCAAATTTTATATTTTACCATAGAAAATTACATTCTTTAAAACGATCTAAAATTATTTTCAAACTAATTTTCTTTATTATTGTTAAAAAATAAGAAGTAACAAATATTTTTTGCATGAAATTATTTGTGAAAAAATTAATTTAATATTTTATAATATCTAATTTTGTGCAAATAATTTTCGATAAATAATTTACTTCTCGAGATATGGCGAAATATGAAAAAACTAAAAGTAACATTAAGGGGTCTAAACTTTCGACTGCTCACCAGAGGAAACTCTTGGAGCCATATTTCCCATATTACCCACTCCCCCATATGTGAAGAATCCAAATCCGCCAAGAAGAAGCTATGTTTGTTCATAGAAAGTGCGCTTCTATGTCTTATTCCGTACCTTAAAATACTATTTTCACTAATTAATTAGCATATCTGAGACCACCCCGTCTAACCATTAAGATTAAGTCGTAGTGATCCTATCGTTAAATTAAAAGTTATTTAGGAGTACAGCTTTTTTCCTCACGCTGCACATGAAAAATAACTTCGGTCCACACAAAAAAACAGAAATGGACCTTTTAAGCTAAAATTTCAGTAACTATACTATTACAAATTCATTTTTATTTTAAATTTTTTTACTGAAGTATAATGGTCAAGTTTTTCGTGTTCAGTCTCATTCGCCTTCATGCTACCCTCTCTTTAAAATATAAAATAAAACTTTCTTTTTAGGTAGACGTGTATATTTATTAGGCGGAATGAACAATGTGTTTAACTCCAAGGAAGTACTAAACGAAAACGACTTTTATAACAGAGAAATTGACAAATTCACTGAAGGGGCTTCTCTCCCCCGTCCAGTCACAGGTGCTGCCGCAATAGCCCTGCCCATCGACTATATTGCGACGAGTGACCCTAAATGGGTAGATATACATTTTTAAAATTTATTTTCTCTTTTTGTCAATTAATTTTGCGATACAGGATGGTTCACTACTAGTGCGACTATCTTGCAAGAGATGTAGAGAACATAAAGACGAATCTGATTTATACTCGTATACAAGGAGTTCAGTGACAGAATTACTGATTTTAGAATTAAAAATCTCAGAAACAAAGAGCGATAAAAAAATGAAACAAAGGGAAATCTGTTGTGGAAGCTGAGACGTTGGCGTTCTGGAGTTTAGCTTCAACAGATGGCGTTGCAAGTCATCGATGACCAGAGTTATTAGTTCCAGCGTCAAAAAACGAGAAAGAAGGTTGTTATATACGATTAGGAGGCTTAAAAATGAATTCTATTGAACAACGCATGTTTCCGGTACTAAAATATCGCAGATTCGATCACAAACCTATGGTATCTGTATTTGTTCCGAGAATAAAGTATAGCGTACAGCACTATCTGTTGGCTATTTTTGTTGCTATTAAATAGATCCAACAACGGCGCTTTGAACGATTCTGAAGGAAGCATTTGTTAACAGTTTCCTACCACAATTGAACTAGTGTCAAGTGGTTGTTGTGGCTAACGAACCTAAATGCCAATAAACGTAATTGGTTTGCATCCTTTGTTTCCTTTATTTCATGATATCATACACTGTTAGAATTTGTAATTATCATTTTAGTAAAGTTAGGTGTGTAAAAACAATTGATGAGATTTATTGTCTTCAATTTGAGTAAAAAAAAATTATACCTTGAATAAATTGTGTAGTTTAAACAACGTTGAAATTTATCTTGAAATTCGAGGTTTAAATATAATTCCTTTAAATGATTGCATTTTGGATTTTCTAGGAAAGCGTTCATCTAGAGGTTAATTTGGTAACCAAACTATGTTAAAGTAAAGCAATAATATTAGTCTAGCTTTAGTTACATTAAGAGATATTTTTTTTTTATAAGAGTCCGGCACGATTGGACACTTGACATTTTTGACTTGGCTGAAACTTTCACTACACTAACCGTCAGTATTTTATATTCTAGTACGTTCACGTTAACTATTAAGACATAAATACTTTCAGTTGACTTTTCTATCGAAGGTCATTCTAAAATATTCGAAAAAAGGCTATTTTCTTAGACTTTAATCACCAAAATCTACTAGTATCAACAGTGAAACGTTAAGTTAAATATTTCTGTGAATACATACTAATGAGTAGCTCCTAAAAAATAAACATATGTTTGGTGTAACCTTAAAATTGACATCTAAAGTAGCAAGAAACGGGAATTTTGTCCAACTTTCAAGGCTAGCTGCCTTTGCCAAAACTAGATAAGTATCGATTTTACTGGAAGAGAAGCCTTTAGTATAGCCGAAACAAAATCAATTCACAGACCTATGGGTTCATGATTCAAATTCTTTGTAATATGATTCTAAAATTTGAGACCTGCACCTGAGTAATTGAATACAGAACTATTTATGGGAACGCTGATATTGTTTTAAAAAAAGGCAATTAGGCCCGATCTGAATGTTTGAAGTTAACTTCTTCCCCGATGAGCTGAAGTCCCAATCTAGAAATTAATGAGGGGAGAGGGACAAAGGGGATAAATAGTTTTACATCTATTGGTTTCTTTTCCATTTCTTTTGCTTACATTCAACTAAATGGTGAAGTGTTAAGTCAAAAGTGGGGACATATTGTTTCCGATTTTTTTTTACTCTGAATTCAATAAAATCTCAACCAAGTCGGTAAAACTATTAGCAATAGTTTAAAAGTTATAAAAAATTTTACCGATAAAAAGTATTGTTTTGTACTAATGAATATTAACGTGTTTGCTATTGCTATACGGACCACCAATATATTTGATCATGCTCATTTATTTTTTCTAAATCAAAAAAGATCAAAACCAAAATGAACAGAATTTATAATTTTGAAGCTCTAGAGCTAAAATGATTTAATGCATAAAAAGTACACTTTGTGACTTACACCTATTTAAGTACTACTTTTATATCTAGCAACCGAAACTGTACACGGGATCCAATACTTTAAGTACTTACATTTGCAATGTCAGATATGAGTCAAAATGTGTGATGTTTTAAAATAAAATTTAAATTACTTCTAAATTGTACGTCTTAACAGCTTAAATAACAGGAACAATCGCACTCCCACTGCCCTAAACAGGTATACGACAAAAAAAAAACCAGCTTAAATCTTAATTCGATTCAGAGTAAAATATTATATCGGAAAGTTAATCTGTTCAAAATAAGGTATTAAATATTTCTGAAACTGCTAATGATAAATTGACTTTGCTCTCATTTGACTTGGTGTTATCGCATTTGATAATTCTAGAAAGTATATAAAATAAATCTTTAAAAAGCTTTCCTTTAAATTCACTATGGCTTTAGATTAAATTCTTCTTTTGTTGTTATTAACTTCAACAGTGCATGGACAAAGTCCAACGTTTTACTTACTTAAATATTAATTCTCAATCTCTAATGGACGTAATTTTTGATTTTATTCTTAAAATAGATTCTAAAATGCATATTAAGGGTGGTCTTTATGAAACACTCTGTAAAAATATTTATTGTCCCTACAAGACTTAGAAACATCACATTTAAATTGTCACTGATTAGTTTTACACAATTATTATTAGCTGTTTAATCCATTCGAAATTATTTTGTCAGGAAAAGTATTTTTAAATTTAATATAATTATATAACTAATGTAATGAAATAATTATATGACTAATATACTAATATTGTGACTGTGACTTTCAGAATTACGAAAATATCGATGAAGGCGTCATGAATGAGGCAGCTACTAAGATTCAAGCTGTATTTCGTGGACATCGAACGAGGAGTCTGATATCGCACAATAAATATCCAGTGAGTAATTTTCTCATTCAGGTTGCAGAAAAACTCAACTGACAAATAAGAATTCACACAGAGTGTCCGAAAAAAGTGAAGGAACAGTGAAATATATGGAAAATAATATGCTTCAGAAAAAAAAATAACTGTATGATATATAACTAAAGACGTTTCGGCGTATTTGTATAGACCATTGAATCAAATTGTATATGGTTCCATCAATTTGTCATCAGCATACAACTAACAAAAGTTATAAAAGTATTTTTTTTACTTATTTTTTTATGCATTAATAATTTAACGGTATTTTTCTGTTACATTTATTCATCATCCCTCCTGAGAATTATTCTCTACTATTATTATGCTTTTCATTTTAATTTTTATTCCAAATTAAAATAAAGACTCAAAGCCAAGTTTATTTCATAAAATTGATCCTAGATTATATGATAAACGAATTCAAATAGGTATATATGTATTGATCATTTTATGTGATTAGTAAACAGCAAAAAAGTTGTATTTACTTTTGTAATAAGCTTTATGTAAAACTGTGTTAATTTAAAAGATGCAATTAAAATAATTAATGCAAAATTTGGAAACATTCAGGGGAATTAACTTTCCATATTATTTTTTTTTAATATCGGGCTTGCTGAATATTTAACGAGTTTTTATATTGCCAAAAATTCAGTAAAAATGAAAGAATTAAATAAAATTATTTTAAAAGTTAGATTTGTAGATGAAGTTACAATGGTAACTGAGCAAAATGATTAGGCTTAAATTTTATCCCAATAGATTTGGAAACTAAATTTATAGAACCAAATCTGGGATAATAAAATAAAACATCTTTTGAAATGTTTCAATTAAAATAATTTATTTTAATCTAATAATCTTTCTATTGTTTTGAAATAAAAATGATTGCATAGAAATCGTGGGGGTTTGTAAGAAAAGTGAGTAGGGAATGGTGTCCACTAATATTCAAATATTTTTAATAATTTTATTCACAGTTATTACGTTATCTCCCGGTAGTGGGGTTGATATTCTTAAAATTACAAAAGGAAAAGTGGGTATGTTTTGTTAATGCTATTTAAAATGTTATTTCTTTTCAATGAAGTTTTGGCTATTAAAAATTTTTAATTATAAGAACCATTTAAATTTTGGGGAATTCAATAAAAATTTAGTTTGATGTCTTCCTGCCCTAATACCTTAACAGGCAATCAATAACTTATAGTCGAATAATATTGATTTCTTCATACATTTCGCATTTTTATTCTTGGTTAACGTCAGATAAAAGTATATAAGTTATATATAAGTTGTAATTTTTAGAAAACTTCAATTTACCATCCATTATTTATACACTCTATAACAAAAAAATCGAAGCACCAAGAACGCACTAAGACGCGCAAAATCGACGCTCGATCAGGCTGGAATGATGCCGACTGGGGATGTATTGTATTTAGCGACGAATCCTGCTTCCAACTGTGTCCTGACGATCATCGAAGACGTGTTTGGAGACGCACAGGGCAGAGGGGGATCCTGCCTNCAAAATGATTAGGCTTAAATTTTATCCCAATAGATTTGGAAACTAAATTTATCGAACCAAATCTGGGATAATAAAATAAAACATCTTTTGAAATGTTTCAATTAAAATAATTTATTTTAATCTAATAATCTTTCTATTGTTTTGAAATAAAAATGATTGCATAGAAATCATGTGGGTTTGTAAGAAAAGTGAGGGGGGAATGGTGTCCACTAATATTTAAATATTTTTAATAATTTTTTTCACAGCTATGCTTAAGTTTACTTTATCTCCTGGTAGTGGGGCTGATATTTTTAAAATTACAAAAGGAAAAGTGGGCATGTTTTGCTGATGCTGTTGAAAAAATTTTTTTAATGAAGATTTTTGGCTATTTAAAAATTTTAATTATAAGAACCATTTAAAGTTTGGAGAAATTCAATAAATATTTAATTTGATGCTTTCCTGCCCTAATACCTTAACAGGTAGTCAATAACTTATAGTCGAATAATATTGAATTATTCATACATTTCGTATTTTAATTTTTGGTTAAGGTACAATAAAAGTATATAAGCTTAATATAAGTTGTAATTTTTAGAAAATTTCATCTTATCATCTATTATTTATATAACTAGAAGGTGTAAGATATAGTTTATGTTACACATTTTTCTTAAAATTATCATATCATAAAATATTGTTAGTTATTTTCCAAAGCTATACTATATCTATAAGGTTTTCATAAAGGATTCCTAAATTTAAAAAAAAAAACTTCAACAAGTCACAACTTCTTTTTAAGACGTCACAAAACGAGAAACTGTTTTTTGTTTCGTTAATTTTTATATATAAAAAAAATGCAGGACCTTGCTTTGGTCACAATTTTTTGTATGACCAAAAACCATGTTCTTGTTAAAAATTTAAATCGTTATCTCCCTTTACATCTTTTTAATCCTCCATTAAATCCTTTTGCTTGCTATAAAAAGCAAAAGGGGGAATAAATTTTAGAATTAAGAAATATTTATTTGAAAAACTGAGTATGCAATTTTTTCATTACAATTTCTCGATCTAAAAAGTAATTCTCTCGTTTTCCTCCTTTTTGCATTTATATTAATTATTTAGAATTTATTTTCGTAATTTTTTTTTAAATCTCTTCCCCATTTATTGCTCATGCATATTTATATTTTAGCTTTATACAGAAGGATCTGATATCAGAAGAAAACTGTATGCTCCTCAAGCAGAAGTTTATAGTGATAAATGGAAATTATTTCAAAGGGTTCAAATTGATGTAGGTCATGCTTTTTTCATTCTATCTTATTTTCAAAAATCTTTCATTATTTAAACAGATTTAGAATTTTATAGGAAATTCAGTTGATGAATTTGGCTACTTTGTAATTTTAAAAGATGTTCTTTATGTATCCATATAGAGATTATAGCTATCCTCCTATAAAAACTATTTTTTTACCTGAAATTTTTCAAAGTCTGAGTAAGTAAGTTTAAAGCAAGGAAAGAAATAACAATCAAGCTCATTTAGAACCAAATAACTTGAATGCTTGCGAAAAGTTTATTTTTGGATATATCTATAACTTTAATGCCAAAAATGTATTAAAAAAGGATTTTAATTACATGATCATGAAATGTTATTGAATTAATTAACTGTACTTTATATTACGGTTTAGATTACTTTTAGAAAATAAGAGTATAATAAATATGTCACTATGGATAAACGTTTAACTCCTAAACAAAGGTGTAGCTCTATTTTATTTATTTAGAAGTTTTTTTTAAAAATTCAATAGGAATTACAGTTTTCTAGTACTCTCAAAATAATGCATTTTTTATACACTAATCAATCACAATGTCTTCGCCTTTAGAAAAAAGCCTTTGAAAATGCAGCATAATTTCACAAGAAATTTTTTTTACAGAAAATATATTTAGAGTAATTTTTTCGCACTTAGAAAAATTTCTCATTCAATGTTGAACCATAAAACCAATACTCAGAACTATATTAAATATCTCGCAAATATTAATAACCTTTATAAGATGTTAAATTCAATCATTGTATTGTGTGATTAAAGGTAAGGATTTACCTATATTGTATTAATCTGATCTAAGTAGACACTTTCTTAAGAGGATGCAGTAAATTTGCTCAACTTCATCAGCACATGACGCTGTTTTATATAAAATGAGGTTACTATTCAATGTTTACAAATATTTTTATAGTTTTGAAAAAGGTGGACATGAATCAAGGAAATGTTTATTAATTTAAAAAAAAATCAGATTACGTTGATATGCAAAGTGCCTACAATATTCTCAGAAATATTTGGTTCGTCGTTTAACCTCATAACATTGATAAAGTGAATCATATTATAATTCTCTTAAAAACTTTAAAATGGTTTACTGGCTAAATTATGTTTTCTGATAAAATAAGTCATGTTTTTTCCAAATTGAACCATAGTATTATCTATTCAAGGTGGCACCTTAAGATTGCAGACCATTCTATAGTTCAAAGTGCTTCAATATTTTTAGCACTGTACGAAAAAAAACCAGTACCCTGTGATAGTATCAAGTTGAACCATAGTATCATGTGATATTTTTTTAATCTGTAACCTGCACTACAGTAATGTGATTCTAGGTGGCATTTAAATAAGGTTGTAGAACGTTCTCGTGATATTATAGTTCAAAATACTTCAATATTTTTAGCACTGTATAAAAAATACCCTGTACCCTGTGATAGTATCAAGTTGAACCATAGTATCGTGTGATAATCTTTAACCTGTGCTGAAGTAATGTGATTCTAGGTGGCATCTAAAAAGGGTTGTAGAAAATTTACACGCTGTTATAGTTCAGAAAACTGCAGTATTTTTAACATTGTGGGAAAAAAATAAAAATTTTATGTCATAGGCACTTTTATCTCAAATATAATCCTTAAACTTAAAGAGATTTTGAAATTCTGATCCACGAAAAGATTTAATCCATCGATTAGAAAAGAGTTTAAAGATAAATCATCAGTTTAAACATATGTTTAATGAAATGATCTGTTTCTTACAGGATTGGCCACCTTTGCCAGATCCAAAAACTTTCTCTTCTGAGTTAAATATTCGTTTGGGAACTCTTCCAAAAGGATATACAGTATCCCCGGCAAAAGGGACCAGTAGAACTAAAGTCAAACGATATCTTACCTTACCAGAAGAAGTGGACCCTAATTTAGGAATATGTGGGCATATTGGTAACATTTTTAAGAAAACAAAGTAAGAAGTATTTTATGTGTTCGTATTTATTCATTTAATATTGAAATTAATGGTGATGATTATAAAAGATTATATATTGGATTCACTATTTTCTACTCTTCTTAACTGTTATAGTCTGTTCACTGCGATAAGCAGTTTCAACGTTTTAAATTTCAAAATTATTTTTTGTGGATGCTTTTTGGCTAAGGGACCTTAAACTTTTAGGGTTTCACGTTGAACCATAATATTGGTACTTTGAACCATAATATGGTGCAGATTCGCTGCAAATTAAATATTGAGCTAAATTGAAAGTTTACTGTTTTGTTAAATTGTTTTCATTTCAGATAAACTAAAATATTGAGATATCAGGCTTAAAAAGAATGTTAAAAAGAATGAGTTCAACTTAGTTCCATATTAAGGTTACAGCAAAGTTAAACAATATAATGGTTCAAAACAACGTCCGGAGTCAATTTTTTTTAGTATGTCATTATTTATCATCATTTATAATATCATAAATAGCCGCACAAAAGGACATAGTAACATCGTACTTTATTATATCAAGCTATTTCATTACATTAACAGTAGTGATATGATGGCCGGTCATCATAAGCTTCATATGTAGGACAAAATGAAAAGTCATCACCGGTCACAGGATGACTAAAAATAACAAATGGCAATTAAAAATGTTACTGACAGTCACCACCCGATCGCCATTTTTTTTTTCTTCGAAAGTGCACCCCATGCGCAATTTACCATTATTTTTTAGTGGAAATTATGAGTATTTTATAATATTCTGAAAGTCACTTTATTTTACGNTCTTGATTACATTAAAATATGAATTTAAAAAAATGTACTTTTATTTTGATTATTCCGTTTTAATTATCATTTCTTTTTGTAAAAAAAGATGCAAAATTTTTTTTAATTAATAAAAATGACAGGATAAATGGACTTCTTTATTTGCATTACAATTTAAATTAAAATCAAATGACTTAGCATATTTTCAGTGTTTGGTTGCTCACAAGCAACAATGAATAGTTTTTTGAGCAAAAAGAGAAAGGGGCGATATGTGCCAACCAACCCCAAGAGGGGGGCGATGGTCTACGAAAGGTTGGGAACCACTGGTCTAGAGCAATGTCGGCGATTATGGTCACGAGATTAAACTATTGTAAAATTGGGTGTGAAAGAAGATTGGGTGTGGGGAAGATTATCTTTGATTGTGGTCGGCGAGAAAAGTATCGATGGTTCTCTTCTTTAAAGTTTATTTTTTCTTGTTTCCGTAGCAGCAGGAAGTTTCAGACTCCGTGGCGGAAGGAGTTTTTTCGTTAGATAGACAGTAGTCCACCTACATGAACATACTGTTATGTGATTCTTCATTATCCAAGTGCACAGACTCATTCCATGATTCCAAGTTGAAGTTCAATTTGTTCCACAGCACTGCTCTCCATAGGACAAATATTTTAAGTGTAAATTGAAAAGGTGGAAATCGGTCACGGACTCGTCATTTTGTGGTTCCCTAAACTAGAGTCTATGAAAATCGATGAATAGTTGATCCACCTAAAAACGTGTTTTTAAAAAACTAATAATATAAAGGCAGTGAGAGAGGCAGCTACTAAGAAAAAAAAATTAAGTAATTTACTAAGTGCTAATTCAGCGGAAAATTTGCAGCAAGGATAAAAAAAAATTGGAATATGTAGTACTGTATTGCTTTGTACTCCGTAAACAATCATAAATTAATAAATTATCTTCAAGAGTTACATATTGTTCATACAGTTTTATTTAATTAATAATCTACTTTTTTATACTGTTACTAATAATTGTAAGAAAAACACACTGATAACTCGGTTTTGATAGACATCATAAGCCGAAGAATGGTTCAGATCATTGTGGCTTTAAAATGCACCCTTTGCTTCATAAGTGTTCGAAAAATAAGTTATTTTAAGTTAGATAAGTTATATTAAGTTATTAATATTAAATAAATTAAAAAGAAATGAATTTCATTTTTGATCTAATATTTATGCACTTTCATTTCATATTTATCGTGTTTTCTCATTGGTTAGAATTTTCTTTTCTGTAGCTTATTCAAAGTTTTTCCTTTCTCATTTGTTATTTCTGTAGAAAGATTTTAGGTTTAAGAAGAGTGGATCACATACCTCCATTTGCAAGAGACATGAGAACCGTAACGACCCTTCAAGATGATTCTTTCCCAGTCGTTCTTGTAATGGGAGGTTTGCAACCGAGGGAGCCTGTTAATATGATTTATGGTAAAACAAAATACTATTGATTTAAAAAAAACATTTAACAGTTTATATGTATTTGTAACGCGCAGTAGCATACTCGGATACCAAAGTTAACTATATTAGTGCACGAGGAAACAAGTTAACTTAAAATAAAAACAGAAAAAGGTTTCTCACGCTTTTTTGTCAAGAAAAAAAAACACAGTTTAGGTACCTTAAGCCAGAAGCAAAACTTTTAGTTTTCAAAGAACTTAATTTGGAAGTAACTGAATGGACTCAATATTTTACAAATATTTTAAATATTTAAGAAACTATTACATTTTTTTAAATTTCGTTAATTGGACGAAATTTTTTTCATCTAAATGAAAATAATTAGGGTCATAAATATTGAAAAATTATATAATGAACACTTTTCTTTTTTAAAAAACATTGGCTTTTCTTTTATGACATCTTGCGCCATGTTCATATCCACCATTGTGGATTCAAGAAATAATTTAAGATTAATCTAACAATCATAAATAACTGTTACGAACTCATAATTAAGAAAATATTACGTTATGCACAAAAAGTTTTACTCAATATGACTACTGAGTCTTCGAAGAACACATTAAAGTGTCAAAAAGAAGAATCTATGAAAAAAAAATGAGTGCCTTATCTTTATACATATAGTTTTCGTATATCCATATTTTTAATCAAAGAAATCTGAGTGTTTTCTAAGCTTCAATTAGTATATTCTTCCACCAACTTTCCTTTAAAGTAAGAGGCATGGAATTTTTTCCAGCCTATATTTCGTATCCTGCAATCAAATGCTTTAATGAAATGTATTGATAAAAGGATTTGTTTTGCAGGTAAATTGATATTGCTGTATCATCCATTGAAGAATAGATGGGAGTATTTTGGGGTTCTACCTGAACCAAGAAATTATCATGCTGCTGTTTATCATCGAGAATTTATATATGTCACAGGTGAAGCACATAAAAATGATCTGTGATGTATAGAGCAAATAATCAGTATATAAAACTTATGACCATAAACGTAACGATCCAACGAAGATCTAAGCATTTAATAGAATATCTATTTCATACGTAACTTAAATGCATGTATACCACGGCCGTTAAAACGTTACTTGATGGTTGTTTTTTCATTTAGTACACCTTGTCATTTCATAAAATAAGGACAGTTTACTTTCATAAATTTGTCAATATATTACCATATAGCATAAAATGTCCTCCTTATTCCTCAAAAACATTCCCTATCTCCTTAAAACGTAGGATAGTTTTATAAACTCCATAAATTTTTTGTATGGGGTTTCAAAATGTAACATTTTGATACCAGAAGACATATAAAGGATATTTTAGTTGCTTTATTTTGAAACATTTAAATTTTATTTTTAAATTTTTTAGACTTGTCAATAGTTGACTCAAAAGTACTCATTTTAGAAACTTTTTGTTATTAATGTTACTGTTTTACTGTTATTACTGTTACCAGACTGACTAGTAGCTAGAAGACGACTATTATGCAAGGCGGCGGAAAAGAAGAAAGGCTGGTAGTAAAACCATTTTATATTAAGCTTGTTTTCGGCAGAGATAAAGAGCCTAGGCTATGAAGATTTATTAAAAGTTTTAAAAAATCTGAAGTGAAAAACAATGCTCATGAGTCTTGGTAAACAAACTAAAAATGAAATGTTTTTACTATTGTTTTTTCTCTTTTCCGGGATACAAACAACCCTTATAATGCTACTGCGATATCTCAAACTAAAATATCAGTAAAGGAAAATGTCACAAAAAGTATTGGATGCAAAAAAATTCTGTAACAAATTGCTATTCATTTTTTTAGTCTTTTTTAAATCTTTGATCCTAAGTTTAAAAGCTTTCTGTTTGATAAATGTACTTTCTCAGAAAAATGAGCTTAATTTTAAATAATAAAATCAGTACCTCGAATCATAATACAGTGCAAACTGTATTTATTGCGCTGAAATTAAACCATATTTTCATTCAAATTGAACCACATCATATTCCAATACCTTTCAAAATTTCTAATAGTGTTTAACATTACAATCTCTACTACTTTGGGCCGGGATCGCTTGGTCGGTAGGGCGCTGGGCCCATATCCAAGAGGTCGTGGGTTCGATCCTCGCCGGCCGAAGACTCCCCGTGTAGTAAATGGTGACTGATGCACGTTAAATCTGTCGAGTCTCAAAGTCCTCCATGTTCCCACAACAAATCAATACCTCTGGGGGTACTGATCCAGGAGTTTCCTTGTCTTCTGGATTGGTTCAAAATTACAAGGCTACGGAGTTGAACATTAGTAGTCGTAAACCCATGAAATTGGGTCGGCTGTTCAACGACGGTTATAAAATAAAATAAAATCTCTACTACTTATGGTTATAAAAAATATTAGCAATGATTATGAAACTTTTCAAAAATGTAATTTGAAGGTTTTAATTGTTGTTCCAAGAAAGGAGCATTCCTATATTTCAGGAAGTAAATAAAAACGTTTCTGAACCATGTAGAGACGTTTCTCTACGTAGCAAGCGTTACAAATTATTTAAACATGGAATATTATTTGTGCAATGTGAGCTAACGTGATACTAATAGACGCTTTTAATCGTAATTAAAGGTGGTTGTGATCCAGACAAGCGAAACTGTGGAGAAATGGTATCTACTAAAACTGTCTTCTGTTTAAACATACATTCAAGTGAGTGGGTCCAGAAATCTGACATGCTTTGCACAAGATCTCATCATTCACTTGTTGCCTATCAAGATAAAATATTTGCTATAGGAGGCAGGGATAATAATGGAAGGTAATTATTTTGTTGTGCCCAATGTCGTAACTCTGGGGAATATTACTGAGCCGTAGTTCAGTTATACGTAAACTGTGGCGTGATAAAATAAGGAATACTTTCAAAACAGAAAAGCTTAGTTTTTATTTCAGTAGAAATTAGCGATAAATGATGCGAATTAACAATATTTGGTCTTCTTCTGTTTCATTTTGGATGGAGGAAAAGTGAGGAGAAGCTTAGCATTGAAAAATATCAGCTAGAATACCAAGTGAAGCTTGATAAATCATTTCACTAAACGAATTTTGAGAAATTGCCCTTCCCTTTGAAGATTGTTTTTTTTTCTCTCCCCATTGTAGCTAAGTGGCGGTTGGGAATGTGACGTATAAAGAACTAAATTTTTGAATTTGCAAATTTGCAATGCAAAATTATTGGCCAAAACTGCAAAGTTTGGCTTACAACGAGTGATGAATATTCGTTAAAGTTAATAAGTTTAAAAAGTTTAAAATAGACATGCAGCAGAAAATACTATTTCCTTCAAATTATCAACAAATATTTTTACGTATCTTTAACTTCCAATTATCTGCGGAATTGAGTGGCATGACAGCTGTGGATATTCCGTAAACTCTCTCTTGTGTACGTTTCATAAAGTTAAAACAACTCTTCCTCACTTATAATTGGAGTTTTAATAATAATTTATCTATGTAAAAAAAGTTATTGTTGGTTAAAAAATAATAGGAGTAGAAGAAAGAAAAAAATCAGCACTATCCGATCAAATTACTGTGCTTCAAAAGTTCTCCCGGACAAAATACCGTGGAACAGAATATTACATAGACAAAATATGATATCGTCTGCTATTGCTCGAAAAAGGCAAGCTCCGTCACCAATAATTGGTATAATAGTATGCTGCACCATTACACAGTTTATGCTTAAAATTTTTACAGCCGGTTTAGGAAGGATGAAAAATAGATCAAAATAATTTTTCGTTACCAAGCTTTTATTTCTTTAAAAATACAAAATTAGTTCAAATAAATACTTAATAGCTAATTTCTTAACACTAATTAAATTATTATTTCAAACAATCCAACAAAATGAATAATAGCTGTATTGTTGCCAATAGATAGAGAAATATTAGAGTAGTTTATGGTGCCACACAAGAAAAATATAAAAACAGATTTAATTTTTTAACCTTTTCCTAAACGCTTTATTAAACGACCCTTGTATTTTTACAATTGGTATTCTTTTCTTTATCAATTTAAGATTTTATTTAGTACAAAATTATGATGTAAGGAAATTGCTTGGGGAAGGAAGATAATGAAATTATTTGCGGATAAATCATTGAAATATGAGTAAAGGAGTCAGAATTAATTTTATCTTGTAAAAATAACTTCTAAGTCAATTTTACTTTTACTAATTTTACAGTCTGCATAACTAAACGGTAGTTGAATCAAACTGTGCTTTATATTAAACCGAGAACTTCTAATTATAACAACCTTTGTGATGTTATCGGTGCTCTCTCAATTAAGCTTTTAGAAAAATTCATCCAATGTTGAACCATAATATCGGGTCATCGATGTGTAGTAGTTCTTCAAAACATTCTGATCAAATATTCTCATTCACTCAAAGCCCAAAAAGGAATAGTTTCCGACATAGGGAGCCTCAAATATAAGAGATATATGCAACGGTCGCAGTGGTGAAAGATGCTTGAAGTAAGCTTGCATGCAGCATTGGATATTTGCGAGCTCAGTGTGAGTGTATTATCCACGTATCTTTTAAAGCAATCAGCCCTTATAATGGTTTTAGCATGTGTAAAATCCGATCCAACAACTTCGATGTGGTGCACATTGGTGAATTCTAATATCGTGACTGTATTAGAAAATAGAAAACGTTAATTATTTGTGGCTCCGTATTTTGTAAACTATCAATTTTTTGACGCTGTGTCAATAAGAACTTTTGATCAGAGCATTTTGAACTACTATGCAGTACCGCTCAAAAGTTTAGAGTCACTCTTGAATTTTCAAAAATGAGCAAATAAAAACGTTTTTAAACTGAAAATCACAACAAGTCAACTTTATTTTGACAAATATAGGTACACTTATGCGGTAAGGTATGCTATAACTTGTGTGGTATGCTATAATTTTATGTATAACTTATGATTTCCGTCCAATCTTGGATTCTTCGAAACATACTCCTTTGGCTTTAATCACAGCAGTGCATATTTTTGACATTCTTTCTATTAGTTTTTGCAATTTTCAAATTGAGATCTGGTTCCAGCAACTAAGTGAAGATTCCCATGAGGTTTTGATTGGTGCATCGCATTTTTCTAACAATTCTAATTAGTTCATCCCACAATAGCTCAATAGGATTAATATTGGAAGATTAAGTGGACCAATCCATGTATTTCAGTACTTTTTTCTTTTCTTTTGATGCAATATAGCTTCTACATAGTTTTAAATTGAAATAGCATTTTGTGAAGTTTGTTGACGTTCATGATTGATAAATCACCGGTTTAAGCTAGAAATATATAATTTTTTTAAAAGTTTTGAAAAAAATACAAGTGAGTCTAAACTTTTGACCGGTAGGGGAGAGTGGGGTCAATTGTAACATTTTTTGCTTAACTATTTTTAACTAACAAAAAATCCAATATATTATTAGTATTAATTGACAGACGAGTAAAGTAGACTATCCTCTACTAGAAAAAAAATAAATACCTTATTTTAAATGTTATTATATTAGTTATTAACAATTTTTGACAGTCGTGCACTTGTTACAATTGTCCCCACTTACGGGGTCAATTGTAACAGTTCATAAATTCAACTAAAACATAGTTAATTATACATATTATCATAGTTGTGATATATTTTTTTATTGATCAAAATAGTAGTGATATTTTAGGAGTAAAAATAATAATGAGCAGAGACCTAAAGGGTTAAACTTTTAACTTTAAGGGGTTAAAAATTTTAATTTATGCTGTGAAAGGTGACAAATAAAATAATGCACATGCAACATAATATAAATGATATAGGAAACTATTGGTGGTTCTTAAAGAGTTAAGTAATGGTTTGTAAACATAAGATTATTTATTTTCAGCTGTTACAATCGTCCCTTTACTTATTGTTACAATTGTCCCCAAGACGCCATTTCAGCTTCATTTGTTAAAAACAATGCTAGTTAATTAGCAAAACTAATCTTTTTTTTATTGAAATGTTAATTAAGGTGTCCACTTACATATTCGGTTAATAATTTTTATTTGCTTAAACAAAATTACTTTGTTACAATGTAATACTCTAATACCAAAAAAAGTACTTACGTAGCGTGAAAATATCTCTTGTGATGTAACTCTTTCAAAAGTACATAAAAGTGGTTGCCAGCAGGGGTGTACATGTAGATTTATTAAATACACCTTGTGCGCCACGTAGGAACCGAATCTAGAACCCGACACTCGAAATATTTGCTCTGTTACAATCGTACCCTGTTACAATTAACCCCACTCTCCCCTACTGTATATTAAATTTCCGGCAAATTTGACAGAGAACTAAGTTCCATAAGTTTTGTATGGGGTTCTGTACTGCAATCTTAATAAGGACTAAAATAAACCCTACTTTCGTTCTTGTAAATTGTGTAATCAGGTTTATGATAAACGAAAATGTGCCTCAACTTAGCACCAAGCAAAGTTTGCAGTAAATGAGAAAGATTTTAAGCTTAAAAAGTTCTTGTAGCGGGTTATTCTCCGTTTTAATGTTGTTTAATGCCCTTCTTCCGGAAGATTTACTGTAAAAGTGATAAACTTCGGCATATTAATAAAAATTCAAAGGCATATTAAAATACGTAATGACTGTTAATGTTTTGAAGGTTAGTTGCATCAATTGAGGTATACGACATTGAAAGAGACGAGTGGAAGCTCAGACATCCAATGTCCTATCCACGAATGGGAATGGCTTGTGCTGTGTATGAACATCATATCTGGTGTCTTGGCGGAACAGGAGTCTCCGCAGAAACCGACACCATGAGTTTTCCTGTACTTGCTAGCGTTATCTCATACGACATATTGAAAGATGCGTGAGTTGTTCTCTTCTTTAGATATATGTATGAGTCTAAGTATCTTAAATCTTACAGTTTTTGTACTACCAACTAACATCATCAGTAATCAAATCCAAATAAATGTTCATTTTGTTACAATTACCTACATTTTATTACAATACTTAGATATTTTGTAAGCAAAGTGATCCTTTCATTTATTTGAAAATACTGACTTTTGACAGGAAAACAAAAGGATGAATGTGGAGATTGGTGAAAGGAACCTTAAAATAAAAAATTAATAACATTTAAAAACAATATACATATTTTTTCTTTTAATTTTTAGAATTGTTTAATCTTTCATATATTGTTGTTTTTTTATTATATCTTTTCAAGTTAATATTTTTTTCTTCAGAACCGTGCTTAAAATTCAATTTTATATTTTTCTGCGTGTGTTTGTTCCTTTAATTTTCTTCCCAGGCAATGACGAGGTTATTTATTATTTTTTAAAGCGTCATTACAAAATTATATTTTTATTAATTAAAAGAAATTCCTAAAAACTAATTAATTTCATATTTTTATATTTAAGACACGTTATTTTTAATTTTCCGATTACGAGACACGAGTAAATGAGTTAACCCAGCTCGCACCGACCACAGTGCTGACAACAAAATATCCTCAGTGGCTGACATATCATGGATTAGAATAGCCTCGCCATCGGACTAAATGAGAGATGTTTTCCTCACTCTGTAACTCAAATATGGATTAGTTTCATTAAAAAGTCCTCCTCGGAGGCTTGCTTGTCCTAATGTTTGATCCAGGAATTCCCTTTAATTCTGAATTGGGTTCGACATTACAAGGCTGTGGAGTTGAACATCGATAGTCGTAAACTCAAACTTATGTCGGCTGTTTAATGACGGTAACAAAATGAAAATTAAACTATGACTTCCCTACTGCAAATAATTATATTCAGAGGAGCTTTCGTTGTGCTCAAGTAATATGAGCCTCAGTCTCTTTCGTAAGAAGCCAACTTCTTTGCAATATCATCTGGGTGATTCTAACAAAACACGACAATTTATTGACCATAACAGAAACCTTATATCATAGAATAAAATGTTTTTTTTTTTAAAATCATTATCCTGGTTATTGCTATTATTGTTAGCTTATTAAAATGATTTTACACTGGTTTCAAAATATATATATAGCTGGTTTTGAAAGCGTCATTTGCCTGACCAGCCATTAGCGATATTTTCAAATAGTTACTGGCTTTAAAACTGCTTGTATATTTTTCTCTATCTAAGTTTTTACTCCTAAACTATTAAAGACATTTTTGAAAAGGAATAATTTCCAAACTATTTTGTAAATAAAAGTTTTTCAGTCAATAATGAGTATGTCGTTTTCCTGGCCACTAATTTTCTTATCTCTGTAACATAATTTCTCTTTAACATATTTTCGTTTCTTTATAATATAAAGGACGTGTTAAAATAAGTTTTCCAGTAAAAAAAGAAAAGACGGTTTCAGAGAAGTCAATTTAAAAAGATATAATTTTCCTGTCTTTTTTAAATCATTAATAATATAAAATATATTATTGAGTTTGAGCTCTTTTTTAAAAAAAAAAGCCTTGCTGATGGTAAAAGTGTCAGGCCTAAAAGTGTAGAAGAAAATGGAAGTAAAATGCTATAAAATTATAAAATGTCATTATCCTGGTTGTATTTTCCTGACACTTGAATGCCAGGAAATAATTGTAAACTCCATATTGTTTGTAAACTACACTGTTCCATTGACTAAACTGGTTTTTTAACCCATTTCCGGACAAAGATGCGTAAACGCACCGCTTCAATAAATATTCTTTTATTTCTGCTATTGTCAAGGGTTCTGAAGACATCTATAAAATATTATTTATTCAATTGTAGTAAAAACTTTTGGTTGAAAAGTTTTTAAACCTGACTATTTTTTTTAAATTAATTTTTTTTACGGCTATTGACAAATTTAACTTTGTGAAAGTGTACAATAATTCTATTAATCATATGTTTTTAGGATGGATTAAGGTTCCGTAAGTAAAATAAAAATAAAACAAATGTCACATAAAACTAGTGTTCAACTAAATGATTTGCCATTGATTTTTCACATGGTGCATATACGCACCCTTTTTTTCTTTTTGAATAAAGTATTATTTTTCATGCATGGATCGAACCTTTTTTGTGTCTTAATGAATTTAGTTTAAGCATATTTCAATGAAACTAAATCTACATTTTATAAAAATTTTATTCTCGGCTTAAAATAGGTTAAGGTTACTAAAATACTTTAAAAAAATTATTTTAAAAATTTTAATTAATTTTTTTTTCTTCAAGAGTATCATATTTTCTGAGAATTACTCACCTGTAACAAGAAAATCTGCTAACTACAAAATAATAATAATATTAAATAAATAAAATAATTATAAAAATGGGTAATCACTTTTCACTCTCAAGTACTTATATTTATATGATTTGCTATCGGGCTTAGACTAATTTATAGATAATACCAATTTTAAATTCAGTTCTGATTTCAGGTGGCTTACGCGTCCCCCATTACGATGTCCCAGGACTTTCGCATCATGTGTTGTGGTACATGACTCCATGTGGTTATTTGGTGGTGCATCAAAGCATCCGGAAAGTCGGTGTTTAATTAGCATGGCATCAGTTGATAAGTACTATGCAAATGAAGCTCAGTGGATGAGAAGAACTCTTTTAAATACTCCGAGGCACGGGGCTGCGGTTGTTGCAGTTGGTATAAAGTATTTCTTTTTATGTATCTCTGGACATTTCCTTTTTAATCAGTCTGTTAACTGGCAAGTTAAAATTTAAAATATTGCCGAGTAAGTACAAAGATTAAAAAAAAAAAGGAATTATGAATTAAATATGTTTTATAAATAATAAAATTCTGTTCAAAACAAAGACATTGAAATTTGAAAATTTTTATTTCCAATCGATCCAATTTCAATGAAAAATTTTGTCTGGTATTATGTTTAGTAGCAGCCTTGAAGCTCCAGTTCCCGGTAGCATGCATTGCAGACTATCAGAGCATTTGCAGAATATTTTTCATCTAATATTCTTAATAAATATATAATAGTGCATGAAGATAATTTTTCATATCAGATTGAAAAATAAGACTAAAAAATTACTGAAAGCAGAAACAAAAAAAATCATTTTTTACTTCTGAATTTACTCAATTACTATTAATTTCAGATTTTTAAAAATTTTGTTGGCCAATCTGTAAATAAAGCATAGGAAAAGTGACGAATTTTCACAAATTCCAAATAATGTTCTTTAATTAACTTGAATTTAAAATAAAAAAATTAAAAATTTAAGAGACTGGAAAAATTTTAAAAATAAATTCTTTGCAACATATCTGATATGATTAGAAATTTTTAAATTTATATTGTTTTACTCATGCATGTCATTAAGGTTAGCGATGACAAAAAAAATCGATGTCATTTAGAAAAAAATATAGATAGCAATTTTTAAAATATCAAAAATTCAATTTCCAACATCAAAACCCTAAAGAAAAGTACTTATTTAGTTGATTTAAGATAAAATTATCGATTCCAAAGAGATTGATTGATAGCTGTTTTTTGAATATCAGCTTTTCAAATGATTTTCAAGCTATTGTACCTCATTCAAATTAAATTAAAACAACAATGGCTTTCGGGCATGACGTATTCATCCATATCTGTATACAAAAAAGGTATTTACTCATCCTGAATTCTTTTGCTAATATTTTTTATGCTGAAAAACAAGTTTTAACCAAGATTGATGTCTTAAGTTTTGATCACGTGTTCTTTATGAAATAAGTAAAAAAACTGAAACAAAAAGTTTCGTTTCGATATTTTTTTAAGAATTAGGATATTTTTTTAATAATTGGTGTAATTAGAGGTAATTAGTCTACTTGAAAGTAATGCTTAATAACATTCTTTTATCAAGACAGGAGTCTCAAATTCGAACCAGGTGTTTTTTATGAGATAAAATGAAAAACCAAAAAAAGTTTTATTTCGAGATTTTGCAATTTTCGGCGTAATTAGAATTAGAGGCAGTTCTGATTAGTAATACGTTTTTACCCAGGCAAAAGTCATAACTTTGGTCTAAGTGTTTTTGATGGGATAATACGAAACACTGAAAAGTTTAACTATTTACATTGAAATTAACATTAATTCTTTTTTTTCTTCATAATTTAGATGAATAATTTGAACAAAATAGATAAAATGGTAGTTTTTTACTAAAATGTTTTGATAGTAGTGAGCAAATGCATTAATCAACTTATTCATCTATGTGACAGTGCGTCCTGCATATGCTCACAGAGCTTGATATATTTTGCTGTAACTATAAAATGTTTACGAAAATCAATTCAAAATATTATTACGATAATCTTAAAAGGATAAACTATTTAAAAAAAGAAAGCCAAAACAAATATTCTCAATTTTTTTAAAAATTTTACTAAGTTGTTCCCCCTTAATTGACATTTGAAATTTTGTTGAGAGCAGTTCTAATTTACTAATTCAACTGTGCATTTTTTACTGTGAAATTATTCCGAAGAAAAACATCATTAACTTAGAATTCTAATGATAAAACACAACGTTTCTTGTTTGCTTTTAGTTTCCTTTTAATAACATGCATTCAGAACGTAATATTTATTATTATTACAGAGAGCTGCGTGTATACATTTGGGGGAGTGTGCAGTCAAGAATGGGGTTCTTTGGCTAAGAATGAAATGGTAGTTATCGATGATGTTAGCCTTCATAGTTGTGCTGATCTTCCACTACCACTAACGGGTCTGGCCGCTGTCGTCATTCCTCCAATCTCACCATCACTTCGACCAGAAAGTGTAGCTCTTCTTTTACACGCCCAGCTGACGTTCAATTGACTTAGGAAAATTAAAAGCAAATGCATAGTAACCAAATGATGGTAACTCCAATGAAGAATTTTTGCCACTAACTCCATCCTTCAAGAAAATGACTCTAAAGAACTTAACCATTATATTATAAAGTTCTAAATTATTAAGAAACACGTATAAGTTTTAGAATTAATGCTGAATAAATACGTTATGCGTTGGTTTCATTTCTGTTTTATTGTATGGAAATATGAAATATTCAGCTGCATTTAGAACTGAAGAAAATAGTGGGAAAAGATTCTGAGTACCATTTTTAAAAGAAGTCAAATATTTTGTTGAAAGATCTTATTTTAGAATTATTGTACTTCATAATAGCGGTTCTCCATTTCATTTTTTAGGCTGTAATACACTAAAATGATTAAGCTTCTTTTGGCGGGCCCCTGGTATTTTAAAAAGAAGTTCACTAGATTCTGTAAATATACTCACCGAAGAAAAAAAAGACTAGTAATAATTTTGAAACTATTGAATGTGTTGAATGAAATATTTATAATTATGAATTTTTTGTTGGTGTGTATGCTGAAAACAAGTATAATAAGCTGAATTATGCATTTTTTAATATTGTAAAAAATGAGAATAGTTACCCAAAAAGCGCAATTCTTTATTCTTGGATATAGTTATTTTATTTTGAATTGCGATATAGTTATTTTATTTTATATTGAAAACGCGATGAGAAATACTTATGAAATTTTTATGAATGTATATTCTTTGCATAATTTATTCAACTTATTGTTATTAAAAAATATGCATTTTTTAAAATTTTGCTTCATTTTTCCTTCATATTTAACATAAATAACTTTATATAAGCAAACGAAATATAAATAAAATATGGATTATTGAACGGTTATAAATATTATTGTTACTGGTTTAAATACCCTAACTCTCGGAACCCCTGCTATACTTCCAAGGAATCCTAGGGTTCCACTCAACACCTTTTGGGAACTGCTGTTCTACATCATTGATTTATTTTATTAAGTAATTAAATTTCGGAGATCTCAAGGGATAAAAGTATCAAGTACCTGGCAATATTTTTGGAGTGGCAGAAAGTTCTTAGGAAAGTCAGCAGCGAAAAGTTGGCGAGTAACCTTAGAAAACTTATCTTTTGGTAACAAATCAAAAAGCCAAGTTTTTTAATGCAATGACAGAAGCCATAAGTTTATATAAGTGGTAGGAACTTAAGACATCGGCTTAAGACATATCTAAGGTCTGATTTCTTAGGACAAGCGCCTTATCTGGGAGTCAGTGGGACGTCAACGTCCCGCTGACTCAAGATATAGAGCTTTCGCCTTCCAATGCGGCGAACTGGGTTCGAATCCCAGTCGATACGAATTCCGCACCCGGCTTGCGTCGACCACAGTACTGACTTAAAATATCCTCAGTGGTAGACGGATCTTGGATTGAAGCCCCCTTGCCGTCAGGTTAACCGTGGGAGGTTCTCGTGGCCTTCCTCTCCATGTAACGCAAATGCGGGTCAATTCCATTAAAAAGTCCTCCACGAAGGCCCCCCAATACTTTCTCAGTTCAATACTCATAATTTCTCCCAATACTCGATCCAGGAGTTCCCTTGTCTTCTTGACTAAGTTCAAAATTACAAGGCTACGGAGTTGAACATTAGTTGTCTTAAACCCATAAAATTGGGTCGACTGTTCAACGACGGTTATAATCTTTAAAACAAAAAAATAATGAAATTCTTGGTTTAGAGTAAGTCATTTAAAACTACACGCTTTTCAATTTTTATATTTTTTAAAATCTAATTTTATTAGAGTTTAAACTGATGAAAATTGATTTGGATGACAAAACAAAATTCTTTTAACGTTAATTTCATAAAAACAAATATACTTATGAAAGATCTAAAAACAGGCAATTGTATACTATTTAACTACCTGTTAAAAACTGTTGTTTTCAGAATTATATTGGAATAATTTTGTTAGAAAAAATTAATAAGGAGTCTAAAATATCGCACGCTTAACATCTGAAATTGCGATTGGGTAACGGCTCTGTATTTTACAAGTGTAGTATTGTGACAGTAAGTGTTTTGTACCGTCACATCGAGTAAATATCCATAATCAGTTTATTTTTGAAAATTCAATAAAGGTGATTAAAAGAATATTAAGAATTTTCTTTCCCAGTCTTCTCCTCTTTGACAGTTGAATTCTGACTGGTAAAGAAGGCTTCTTAAGGCCGAGATAACCTGGTTGTTAGGGCATTGGGCCTATGCCCAAGAGGTCGTGAGTTCAATCACCGCCGGCTGAAGACTCCCAGTGTAATAGTAAATGGTGACTGGCACACGTTAAATCTGTCGGGTCACAAAGACCTCCATGTTGCCATAACAAATCAATACCTCTGGGGTACTGAATCGGAGATTGATCGTTCTCTGGATCAGATCAAAAATGCGATCTGTAGATGAATGAATGGATGTATGAATGAGTCTGCCCTATAAACGGGCTGTGACGTGTGAGTGGCTGAAGTCGTATTCTTGGCCGTAGATGGCTCCACTGAGAAAGAAGAAACGCACCCTCTGATTTAAATTCGATTGGTTTCAATAAGCAGGTTTGCTGATATTTGCAAATGAGATTAGAAACTACCCCAACAACGGGGCATCTTAACACTGCTGGGATTTATTTTGCAGAAACAAACAGGACATCGCAATGAACTATAGGGGGCGTTGTTGTATTAGCTACGATTACTAATAGCTACAATTTCTATATGAACAGTGATTCAGTCAGGGTTGCCATACGTCGTATTTTCAATACTACAGTAGTATTTTTCACCAAAAAATAGGGATGTGATATTTTCCGCAGTATTTTTTTTAAAAAGTGGTATGTTTATATATTTTTTTCTTTCTTTTTCAATTTTTAAATCAAAAAGAAGAAGTGCCCCTCTAGTTTTTCAAATTTTGAACTAAGCCAACCGGATGCATCTTGATTTCCACGGAGACCGCGATAAACTACTAGATCTGGAAACCAAGGACTAAATGCGCATTATTCCAGCTTAGCTTGTTGCTTAGCTAGCTATTCTTGACGTCGTTTTAATAGCGGTCGCAGTGAAATTTACCATGATATAATAAAACCTGCTTTTTTGAAACTAACACATTGTTAAAATAAATTTTACGCTTTCTTTCTACGTAGGATATGAAATAAAATATGCGATTTTTTTTCTTCATTTAAGTTCAATTCTTTACAAATTTGTTATGAATCATTTATGATATACGCTGTTCTTTTAACGCAATGCAGATTTAAATCTTTGTTACTACGTGTTTACCTGAAGTATTAGTGCACAAAAGGGAAAAGATAATTGTTTTTCTATTTTAATATCATTTTATTCTTAGTAATATATCTTTTTATTTTATTATTTTAATAGTATAGTGTCCCGTAGTCGACTGATCGCACAGACACGGTTCCTAGTAGAACACCGAAATCAAGCATCACTGGCTGCGGTCAGTAAGCGGGTGGAGGACCGCTTTGATCTGTCTGCGTAGGGACCGAGGGTGCGTGGTATTGGTCCTCGTTAAACAGTTCTACCGTAAAGTGCTCGACTTCGCTCTCAGGTTGCCGAGCTACAAAAGCAAGGGAGCCATACCCTCTGCCGAGAATCAAAATTGCGATTGTATGTCTTCGGATCATCCCCAGGGAGGTTTTCCAGACAGTCGCCAATAGCCCATTGTGCAGAGCTAGTGCGACTTAAATAAAGTACCTACCTTTAGTGGTAGATTCCAAATAACTACTATAAAGGGCTACTCACTCAGCGGCGCGACAGCCCTTAAGGGCCAGGGCCTACTGTGCCCATCTCAGTTTTCTTGACCTTGGGCTCTGGGGTGCAGGAGCAGATGTTCCTGTCAGGTGGTCAGCCGAACTCGGAACCCCCAGTGTTTAGTTCCCAAGCATGCTTGGTACTCATTTATCGACCAACTGAAGGGGTGAAAGGCAGAGTCAGCCTTGCCCGGCCCGAGGATCGAACCAGGGACCTGTGGCACGACAGCGCGAAGCGCTACCGCTTAGCCACCGGGCGTCATAAAGGGCTACTACTGTAGTATTTTTTAATTTCACAGTGTGGTAACCCTGCATTCAGTTGCTCTGGAGACGTCTTTAATGTAGCGTGTATCATTGTAACGTTCCTTCGTTATTGTGGCTTATTAAATTTAAAAAAGAAAAATGTTTGATATTCTTTCTTGTGCATCACCCCGGGGTTTCCCAGGAGTTGCTTTTACCTCTCTTGCTCATTATTCCGACGTGTTGTCATGGATCGTCACCAAGCCTATCTTTGTGATTCATTGTGAATCACAAAGAGGAATCCTCTTTTTTTCTTGCTGAGAAGTCACGTGCGCGCACTTTGAGTCTTCAGTATTCCCCGGATGCCCCTCGACGGGGCCGGGACGTGGTTAAGCTTTGATTCTTTCCTGTGCAAGCGAAAACAAAATGGTGTCTCATTTTTTAAAGGAACATCCAAAACACGTCGGAAAAATATGTGCAAATAAACAGAAAAAAAATTTGAATCTTCTTATTAGAGTTAAAACCTAATGCCTGCGAAATCGTTTTATTAAATTTAATGATATAACATGAAAGACCAATTTAAGCTTAACATTCCATAGTCTTATGAATCATATTACTTCAAACAATCAAATATGCAAAAAGTATACATAAGCCCATAATTTTATATTATTTAATTTTGCAAGTAATTTTGGAAATTTCAATAAACTGAAAAAGTAAAGAATGCTTACAAAAAAAATTTCCTCAAATAAAAATACTTTCATGTTTTTTTAAATTCTTAATCGGATGTAGAAATCCATACTATAGAGAACTATTATCAAATTAGAAAATAAAAATTACTCACAATTAAATTTTTTATTATAAAAATAATAACACTTACAAGATTTATAAATCCTGAGAATTTCAAAATGATATCTTTATTCTCAGATAATATATACATAGATTATCCCTTCATTACATTAAGATGACATACCACACAATCAAATTTTACAATTGCAAGATCTCGATATTAATATCAATATGTAACTTAAAAACATAATAGCTAAATTCTAGTTGAAATTTATCATTCAAAATAAAAAAATACTTACCGAGAAAACGATAAAAATTTATTAATAATCAACATAAATGATATTATTTCAAGTAATTTGGATGATTCTTTATTGTTGTTTTTCGAATTATATAGATTCAGAAATATATACTATTCTATAACTATTACAGTTCTGCATGTTCTGAAATTTCATTTATTCATTCGAATGAAGTAAGCAATGTTGACCTCACTTTAATTTGTAATGAATTGAAGAAAAAAAATGTTTTTTACCGTAATACACACATCTGTAACAGTATGCGATCACGAAATCGGAAGTTATCGGTTGCAAGCTTGTTAATAATAGAAAGGGAAATATTATTGTGAAATTGTTCTTCAAATGTTTGGCGTGTTCTATTTCAACAAGATTTATCAATGTTCTGGTTAATTTTTTCAAGTTCTTCTGCCTTTTCCTTAGGCAAATTTTGCTTCTTATTTGCTACTAAGAAAATGGCGTCCGATTCTGCCAATAATTATGATAGAGCTAAATGAAAACTTTATAATTAAATGCCTGATATTTTCTGGCTCCACTAGAAAGTGTACTCAAACGTCGCGAATTAAGATTTTCTAAAAAAAATTTTTTAAAAAAAGTTGCATATAGGGATAAGTGGCAAAGCTTTCTAGCTCTTTATATACAGAGTGCATAAATTTCTAGCTTTGTAAGCGCAGTAGTAGTACTTTCTACGTTGCACTAATCAAGAGTTGTAGATTTGCAGAATTGAGCTGCTATTGGTGACCGGTATGAGAAACATACTTCAGTGATACTTGACTTCAATGACTTCGGTGAGCTATTGAGAGCTGTGTCAATCAGTCTATTGTGAACTTGTTAACACAGATTGTTGTTGTTGTTGTTGTTAATTTACGTCGCACTAGAGCTGCACAATGGGCTATTGGCGACGGTCTGGGAAACATCCCGGAGGATGATCCGAAGACATGCCATCACAATTTTGATCCTCTGCNATACCATTTAGTTTTCGTTTGCAGAAGAAAGAATATCAAGCATTTTTCTTTTTTAAATTTAATTAGCCACAATAAAGAAGGAACGTTGCAATGCTACACGCTACGTTAACGACGTCTCCAGAGTAACTGAATGACGGTTCATATAGAAATCGCAGGTAAGCGGCTCACACAACAACGCCCCCTATAGTTCGTTGCGATCGCGAATTATGATAGAACTGAATGAAAACTTAACAAATAAATGCTTGATATTTTCTGGCTCCACTAGAGGGCGCACTCAAACGTCGCGATCGCGAATTAAGATTTAAAAAAAAAAAAAAAAAATTTCATATAGGGATAAGTGGCAAAGCTTTCTAGCTCTTTATATACAGAGTGCATAAATTTCCAGCTTTGTACGCGCAGTAGTAGTACTTTCTACGTTGCACTAATCAAGAGTTGTAGACTTGTATAATTAAGCTATTGGTGACGGCATGAGAAACATTTCTGAGGATAATCCGAAGACACAAATCACAAATTCGTTAATTTCCCATCACAAATTCGACTGCAAAAAGGGTGGTTCCCCAGTTTGGTAGCCAGACGACTTGCCTGCGAAGTCGAGCACTTTACAGTTGCAGAGTTTACGGCAAAACCGATATCGCGCACCCTTAGCTCCTTTGCAGGCTGATAAAGTAGGTCATCCACTCCTTCACTTGCAGCAGTCAGTGATACTTGATTTCGGTGAGCTATTGAGAGCTGTGTCGATCAGTCTATTGTGGACTTGTTAGCACAGAAAAATACTCGAATAAACTCTTGTACACAAACAAACAACTAGGCTGACCCCATTTTATAGTATGGCTGACACCCAAGCCTCTCGGCCACCCTTGCCAGTTAGATTTCAATAACTTTGTTTCTATAAATTGGCAATGAAATCGAAGCGCAATTTCCAAGAGTTCCCTTTTGTGGGTGATAGAGCCATTTTCTTGTTGTTTCTAAATATACTTGGGAAAGAGACAAATTCACGTATTAATTCAGCATTAATCCTTCAAAAATACTAATCATATATATCAGTAAGTAAATTTGTTAACTTATATATCTTTTATTTTCTATTTTGTATATGTTTATGCCTCCAGCGTTAATCAATGTCTTACTCATGTATGTGAAATTGTTAAATATTACTCTTTGCTAATATATTTGTGCGTAACATTGTATATGATTATTCAAGTATTTTAATTCTCCGTATTTTCATGAAGGAAGCATTTTTGCTGATGTTTTGAAAATATTGTAAACATTATAAATTGTATTTGTTATACCGGCATTGTTAAGCCTACTTTTTACTGTAAATTAATTTCTTATAAGTATCTAATTAACCGCTTTATAAATATATTTAATGTATTTCTTTAATCAACTATTTGTGTATTGCAGTATTTCAAAGGCATGGAAAACATATATCCTGGTTTTTAGGATATATGTTAAATATGTGTAGGAAACAGTTCTTTTTCTACTCTTACCTATACATTCCTTTAGTTTTATAATACAATTGAAATATAAATGTATCACCTGTGTTAAACACCTAAAATAAATCTTGCATATTATTTGGATTAAGTGAAGATCATTTTAAGTTAGGAGGGATTTTATGGATTTCTTATTGTATTTAGAGGAGCTAATGACCTGACTAAGGTGATATATGCAAACTCTTTTAATGTGAACATTAAATATGATCAAAGCAGATTTTTAATCATCTTAAGAATATTTCTGTATTATCTGAAAATATATTTCTGTAAAACTATCATCAGTAAAGAGTAAAGATGTTTTGCACCTAATAATAATTTAGTTGACAATGTGTACTAATTAAGGCTGGGAAAGTGAGTTGGTCTTCTGTGATGTAATTCTTGAGCTTCTAGTCTCATAGCAGAATATGCTACTAAGTGTGGTGTACTCTTTCTCCAGAACAATAAGTAAAAAACATTTCGTATGGCGATAGCATTTACTTTGCGGAGGCAGGTTTCCAAATCAGCCTATGATTAACATGATGCAAAGATCTTTACACCAGTGTACGAGTATCTGACTGAATAATGAAAACCGAAAACTCAATGTATACTTGTAGAATTTTAGAAATGTCTGCTTGAGAAAAAGTAATTCCTTTGAATTCTAAATGCACACATATTTAAAAAAATTTTAAATCGCATTTACAATGTTCCTACTGTAAATTTATATGGCTTTATTCAAGTAATAAAAATATGTATGTTAAGTTTATTTAGTTTGAATAAAAACAGAGTATCTGCGCACCTGGAAAGTCATGAACTTCCGTAATCATAAAAAGTCATGGATTTAGGTTTCCGAAAAATAGTTTTTGAAATGGAATTCACCCCTTCCCCCAATTTCATGGTGTTTAGAATATCTGAATTTGTAACAAAATCGCCACTCACAGTCATATTTGATTAAAATATAAAATGTTTTTATTGTGTTCTTTAAAAATTATGGTGTTCTTTCAAAAAATGAAAGAAAAAACATAATTTCTAGAGCAAATTATGTTTTAAACAACTGTGATTTCAGAATTTTTATTATTTTTTTTAGCAATTTAAAACTTAAGGTGAAGAGTGAAACAAGCCAGTAATTATAATTTTTTTTCCTATCCAAAATGAGAACAGAAAAATCAGGAGTGTTTCTTTCCTTTCTGATGAACAAGAAAAGTATCTTTAGAATGTAATTCTGCAGAAAAAAAGAGAAAAAAATTTACTTTGTTTTTTAAATTTAAAATCTATAAATATGAAGATGCAGAGTATAGCAGTTTTGGTTATTCCTATCATTTAAGTGAATGTTGTTATAATGCTTTTTTAAATTGTTGTGTTTTTGTCGGTGAAAATAGTAACTTTGTTAAGTCATGAAAAATTCTTGGAATTAGTCATGGAAAGTCATGAATTTGAAAATCTAAAATGTAGCAGATACCCTGTAAAAATCACTGTAAAGTATTAATTTTTTTTTATAAAAAAAGAATTGAATTTAAAGAATGGAAGATAGTAGATAGAAATGCTATGATTAAATTATTGATAAATGGTAAAATTTTTTTAACATTCTAATTACTTTAAAAAAAATTATAAAATGATTGTTTTGTTGAGATTTGGGCATAATATTAATAATTAAATATATTTTTTACTAGCATTTAATTTTGAATTTGTCANTTTAGTGAATGAACAGGAGTATTTCTTTCCTTTCCGATGAACAAGAAAAGTATCTTTAGAATGTAATTCTGCAGAAAAAAAGAAAAAAAATTTACTTTGTTTTTTAAATTTAAAATCTATAAATATGAAGATGCAGAGTGTGACAGTTTTGGTTGTTTCTATCATTTAAGTGAATGTTGTTATAATGCTTTTTTAAATTGTTGTGTTTTTGTCGGTGAAAATAGTAACTTTGTTAAGTCATGAAAAATTCTCGGAATTAGTCATGGAAAGTCATGAATTTGAAAATCTAAAATGTAGCAGATACCCTGTAAAAATCATTGTAAAGTATTAATTTTTTTTTTATTAAAAAAGAATTGAATTTAAAAGAATGGAAGATAGTAGATAGAAATGCTATGATTAAATTATTGATAAATGGTAAAAATTTTTTAACATTCTAATTACTTTAAAAAAAATTATAAAATGATTGTTTTGTTGAGATTTGGGCATAATAATAATTAAGTATATTTTTTACTAGCATTTAATTTTGAATTTGTCAATTTTAAGCATTCTGCCTTAAGTTTTTGTATTTTGATGACAATAAAAATCCTTAAAATTCTTTGTATGTAAAATCTAATGTAGTTTGCTGCTATGTCAAGGAGGATTTGCTATGATTTATACCTTTTCGAGTTGGTTTTCCTCTTTTAATATTTTTTTTCATTTATCTCCTCGAAATAAGGCTTGGTGATTACATTGATCGCAAAAAGAAAATTTTTTCTATTTCTTACTTTTGTCCTGGGGATAAAAATTACCAATATTTATCGGTATCCCTGAACAGCAAGCAATATTCTCAAAATATTATTTAATAAAGTGTTGAAACATATGTAAATGATAAATGAAGATTTATAGTTTTCCATATTATTGCACTCGGATCTATATTTTTGAGAAATATAATATGCTGAAAGCACATTTTTTAATGTTTATTAAATCTTTTAGTTTCATGAATTGACTGTATGATCTTTTATTGCAGGTAGTTGTCTTCTGCAATCACTGTTAATTATTTGGTAAGTAATAAATGCTTTTAAAATTTCCCTTTTATTTTGAATTTTAGATGATTTTCTAATGATCAGCTTTTATATTTTGTTTGAAAAACAAACTGGAGTTTAAGAAATTGAAAGCTTATTGGCAAGTTTTATTTTCTAGCTTAATATATATAAGCGGGAGTTGAGTTTGTTCTTCAATTGTCAATAATTTGTAACAATTCTATTCAAAGTTTTATTTGACATGCATTGCATACACTTAATTTTATATTAATTTATTAACTTTCAGAAGAAAATCTTTTTGTAATTTTAACTGATTTTAGAATTTTCCAAACTAAAGCAATTTAAACAATCCTTAATTTTCCCAATTTTCTGAATTATTGAGAATACTAACATATACTTCACCCTAATATATATTTGTATAGATTTTTCAGTTTTTATTTAAAAGCATTTCCACCAAAAGTCCCTGAGACATAAGGTAGTGTTACGTGTGTGCCTGCTTGTTCTTTCAATTTTTTAAACTTTTGTTGGTTTCTTGTGACTAAATTAGTAATCTCGTTTAATTTCTATTTCATAGATTAATTAACTTGATTCTAGGTTTTCATCGCCATTTTTTAGAGGTACAATGTATTAACTAGAAAGTTTAACTTTTTTCTCCCCTTGATAAACAGGCTGTCTTTCATACCAAATTTTGTTTGTTCTATCTTCATAATAATGTTGCTGTTAATTTTACCAGATTTTGCCAGTTTCTCTTTACCTTGTGTTTTTAACTGAAATTCCTTAACTTTTTTTTTATAACTTTTTTTGAACACTCATGAAATTTTGAAAAAATTTCTCATTGTAGTAATTATATCAAGATTATAATAGTTAATGTATAGTTTGTGTCTACCGAAATAATAAAATATATTCACTCCTCTTGAAGTGAATGTTTTTTTCTTAATGTTTCATGTTTTTTTTTAATACTACCTATTACTTGGTTTCGATTTTTTCAATTTTTTTAGATGTTCAAGGAAATTCCATCACGTTCTACATTTTCACTTTATTTATTTAACTTAATTTTATGTATATTATGCTATTTAAAAACATGAGTTTAACAGTAATTGTATTTATTTACTTCATACAACTCATTTTATTTCCTGTGATTAATGATCTGTTTTATATAGAAATGTTATCAATATTTTATGTACCTTATTTTGCATATCTTAATGATTTTATTGAATTTTCAGTCTTGTGAATACTTTTGCTCAGTAAAATCTGAAATTTACTTATTCTGTTTAAGAACAGGGTGCATAGCGTTTTTAAAAAATAAAAGCTCTTAAAGGTGCTTTTTTTATTGGGTGTTTTTAAAAAGTGCCTAATTTTCCCTTTTTCGAAATGAGATTTTTCCTTTACTATGTTCATTTTCGTTTTGAATTATGTAAAAAGACACACTTCACATTGTTATTTTTCAACGTTTTCACAATTAATTCAACCCCAATCTATTTCGGCATATTGTCAGTCCATAGCGTATGAAAACGCCATTGATTTTTGATAATTGTCAAAAATAATGCTTAAGTTCTTTTTTTTGTGGTATGACTGCTTTAAAACAAGATAAAACTGTAAATTGTCAAGAACTTTCCAACCCTGCCTAATTATGATATTTTTTTAAAGTGCTTAAAAATATTTTTTGAGTGCTTGAAAAGTGCTTAAAATGTGCTTATTTTTTGTTGAATAATTTGACTACGCACCCTGAAGAATAAGTTATTTCAGGGGTAGGAAATTTAATTTAAATTTTGCATTTTTTCTTAACGTTTTAGTTTTCCTAGGAACCAGTAACTAAAAGGTATTACTAGTCATACAAATTTGCACTGGTCCCTTAGCCATATCACATGATGAATTATATGCTATTTTGTGTTGATTGCTTGTCCGAAAGATCACTGATAATTTATTTTTTGGTGGTCTATTNTACTATGGGGATCAAGTGTCCCTATATGCATATGTTTTCTAAAAATTATTCTTTAACCAAAAGTAAACAAACTATTTTAGTTTTAAATAGCATTAACTAAGCAGTAAACTATGATAGTCTATTATATCAGTAAGATTATTATTTGAATTATATGTAACAAAAATTAAATGAATCAAACTACTTACTCGAAAAAAGATTTGCTTTTAAGAAATCAAAAATTCCATCTTAACAATAAAAATAAAAATGGTTGAATGAAATCTTGTTGCCAGATATGTTGATAAAGAATAACTTTATGAGTGTTGCCAGTTTAAAAAATTTAATTACATATCAGTTTTGATTTAAGATCTGGGGATCAAGTCTCCCAGGGGATCAAGTCACCCTAATCTCCCCTACTGAATAGTAAGTACTTAAATTTATTTGGCTTTTGAAATTATCTACTTTCAAGTTATTTATTTAAGGATTAGATCTTGAAAATGGAACAAAATTATTTGTTTTAGGTAAATATATATTTTGGCTTTCTATTATATTCATAATAAATTATTTAATTACATGTGTGTGCAGGCAAGATTGCTTTTTGGCCTATTGGCCAACAGCAGACAATTTTTACATGTATTGACTGCCTTCTTAAAGACCTTATTTTTAAATTTTCAACAAGTCATCTCTTGACTCTGTTAAAACTATCCTCCCTCCTTTCTTGCATAAGTAGATTGATCACCCATTTTTAATAAGTATTTAAAAAATAATTTTCATAAAATGTTAACTATATTTAATAGTCAACTATATTTGAGTATTTGTTATTTGAATTTAAACTTTATAGTTGATTTTATACAATATTAAGTGCTTTGATTTTATTCCTTTCACTTCAATAATTAAGGTATGTATTAAATGAGATTTTACTTAAATGTGTTTTATGTACCTTTTGTACAAACTTTAATAATTTTATTAAACAAATTGCTTTCTTCAGAAAATAGTTGAAAACTCATCTATATTAGCATTAAATTATCATCAAATATTAGTGATATTAGGAAAAATAATCATTTAGATATGAAAAAGATTGTTTTTCTTTGACCATAATCTATTCTGAAAATAAATATTTATTTATTAGACTTTACTAATTGAAGTGTTGTATAGTATTTCTTGGTAATTTTAATTGCAAATAGTGCTACAACTACATTGCTCACTAGTGCTGTTATTTTGTAATGCGGCAAAAATTCGCCTGCAATATAGCTTTTTACACATAATTAAATCAAGTATTAGCTATTTTTTTTTGTTGTTAAATAAAAAAAATAAAATTCACTTTTCAAGAGATAGCTGCATTATAATTTATTTGGAGGATTATATTTTATTTATGTTTTTGGTTTATTTTTGTATTAAAACACATTGCATTTCAGAATGAGTTAAGTTATATTTTATGGTGTATACAAATTAGATAAAGCATGTCCAAAGCTGCTCTGTCGGCGTATGCTGTCGTTGGAGCATTTGGCAGATACGACAAGAGGACTTTGGACAGTTTAAAGCCAGGAGGTAAGTTCTATTTGACCTTAAACTTTTCTTATTTTTAGTGTATTAAATTGTTATGAAATTTTGCTTGCATGATTTTGATGTTTTCAAGAGTTATAAACAAATTTTTATTGAAATAAAAATGTCATATACAACCCATAAACCTCAAGTTAAATTTTTGCTTTAATTAACTCCCCTCCTTTCTATTAAATATATTTTCCATGCTTACATATTTTTTAATTACATCTTCCAAATACATTCATAAACACAATATTTATGAACATATGGTTAAAGAATATAGTCTTCAAACAGCTTTTGTCTATGTTTTTTAATTTTGTATTATATTTTCTTATTTAATTGTGTAAAGTTAGTTTCAATTAATTTATTACTTAATTTCACTATATAATTCACGACATAATCTTCATTTAAATTTTAAGTGTAATATCTTAATGTATGCTGTATGGTCTAATTAAAATTACGAAGTTAGGATATATACTTTAACAAAAGCGTCATTATGTCGACAAAATTTTTATTATCTGTTATTATTTACTTTGTGTGCTTGCTGATATGTTTTGTTAAAACTAGTTTCTTAACAATAATTAATAAGTATACCAGTGAAACAAGCATAAAAGTTATAAGTTTTCTCTCCAAGGTAAAGATGTTTTGCTTTCTTTGTAATCTAGAAACATAAGATTCTATTTTTTTTTTAACTATGTAAAAGTTAGCACGTTTAACATTGCAAATCAATATTTCAACGAGTTTCTTTTAATTGGTTTTGATAATTTTGCAATGCTTCATATAAGTTTCATGTGCCTCAGGTTCTAAAAGTCAAGTTTAGAAGTTTGAAAATTAGAAGAACCAAAGTGTTTTCTAAAAGCCATTCATTTATCCTTTTTCTCCTTTAAAAAATTTTTTTTGCTTGCATCCTTATCCTTGTCTACTAAATGTGTATTGCAATCAATCTGGTAAAAAAAGGGTCTGCAGTTAATAAAGAAATTTTTTTTAAAATATGATTTTATGTTGCAAAAATATATATATTATTTTTCTTGATAATTTACTTAATTCTTTAATCTATATTGTAATTCTTAATTATTAATTTAATATTTAAAAATTTTCATTATCATTTGTAAAGGATATGTTCTATTTATATATTTTTAAAGTAAATCACTGCGTGATGTTGGTTGATACACGTTAAGCTTTTAAAAAATTGATCACAACATTTATAAGCTTGAATATAAACTTCCAAACAAAAGATAACATCCTTTTAACGGTAGTTTTTTCTTGGTGCATCAAATGGGGAGTTTTTGAGAATAGTTTTTAGGTATTTTTTGTTCTATAACTTATTGTGAAATTTTTCTTTTAAACAAAATTGATTTTTTATTGAAAAGAGTAAAGGAATTAAAGTATTTAGAACAATGCTTTTATAAACTTTTATGCTTGTGTAGTATTGCTATCTTATTAAACTACATTATATGTTAGCAAGTATAATACATTTTTCTTGGTGTTGGTATAAGTTAATGTGTTCAACATTAAAGTCATATTCTCTTTTTTTAACTTTTTAGCTTGAACACTTGTGCAACTTGTGCCCAGTTTGGCTTATGTCAAGAAACTATCAGCCCAGTGCTTTTGCAAAATGATACAAAAGGATCCTCACATCAGGAGCTTGTTTTGACTTAACATCAAGTTTTGCCATGCAGGTGTTTTATTTGAGATCAGTTGAATCTGGTCTCTGAATCTTGTATCGTCATCATGGCTTGGGTTTTATAGCCCAAGAATTATTTATGTGATTCTGCAAAGTGTAAAGATGCCGTTTATTTGCAGCATAGTGTCACGATATTGCCTGCCTCTGGCTTCTGGGATTTGATATTATTAATTGTGACTTTTTGTTTCGTAGCATAGCATTGTATACTTTGTAATAACTCTTAGCATTTTGCTAATTTGCCAAGATTTTTTTCTTTTGTTTATTTATTGTACTCATGTTTTAGCTTTTTGATCTAAAACATGTTGTATAAATGTTGTACTCATCATGTATGAATAAACCATTAAGTGTGATTTTCGTCAAGTAATGTGCTATAACTCATTGAAAAGAAGTGAATCAATTCCGAATTAATTTTTTTATTCTACCGATAATAAGCATACTGGTGATTATGATTTTACAGCCTGAGTTTTACTTCCCTCCCCAATTCTTTTAAAAATGTTTATTCATTTCTGAGCATTTTTGTTGTCTTCAGAATAGTTTTCATAAAATTAAATGTAATTTTTTTTCAGGTGTCCTTCTAAATAGTAATAGTGAGCTATGTAACATAAATATGAATAAATATTTTTTTGTCAAAAATTTAAATTTATCTTGGGATGTTGAAGAAACTTATGATTTATACTTGTACTCTTGTTGATGCTCTGTTCAGAACATCAACATATCTAATCTGTTACTTAATCATCAGTGTTTCTTAACCTTTCCAGAATCTTGATTGATAAAATGAGACACATAATTTTCTCAAAATTTTCAACAAGCACCCGATTAAAATAAGGGATATATATATATATTGCCTAATGTATTAAAGTGATATACATGACTGTACTTGGATTAGTCTAGTACAAATAATGTTCTGTAAATGAAATAAGTATCTGTAATATGCCAATGACAAAAAAAACTTCAACTTACTGAAAACTAAACTTTTCATATCCGCTGTCTTTAAAAGCTCTAAATCGGGTGTTTTCCTATAATAAGAAACAATCTCTTCCAAATGTATAACAATAATGCTAATTAGATCATTCATATGAAACAAAGCTTCAGTAAAAACCAAATATCACTGAAAAGTGTGCTTCTAAAATATCTGAATTTAAAAATTTAGTGATTGTCATTATAGTTTTTTTTATAATTTTAGATTAACTATGAATACTTTGATCTGATAGTGTTCCCATCAAAAAATATAATAGAATAGTGGTAAATGGTAGTTGTTCACAAGTGCAAAGCATTAGAATATGTAAACTTGGACATTATCAGTGCATTTTCGTGCTTTGAAACCTGTGTATTGGTCTGCAACATCCATGGGGTAAAAAAAGAAGGGAAAGTTAATTTAAGACAAACTGTTACATTAAGAAATTTTGTTATCAAAAATGTAAATGTATGAATTTGAATTTAGAAAAATTTTATGTAACAATAAAAACAAAAAGTGTTTTCAATTTTTAGCTTTGTTTTGCATTGCTTTAATTATTTCCAGCTTTTTTATATATTAAAAAAAAATCAGCCACTACTTGTGAACTAAAAAATGAAGTAAAGTTTAAATTCTATGTAAAAAAAATTATATTAATGTTTAAAAATTAAAACTAGCTGATAGAATGGAAAGTGAAACATGAAGTCTCTTAGAGCTGTCTGTAATATTGAATGAACTTATGCTTCCTGTTCAATAAAACATGACTTTTGGCCCACTCGTCAATACAAAAATCTTCTCCGACTATTTATTTTTTTAACAAAACTTTAATCTCTTTCCTGTAGTGTACGATCAGCTTATATAAAATAACACTGCATTCAAATTTTTGTTTATAGCTCACTTTACTATATTTTTATTTTTTTAAGTGAATGTTTTTTAATGGTGTATAATATTTTTTAGGTTGAAGCTCTAGAAATTTTTCATCGCTTTAATTAGGTAAGAAGTTTTTTGTATTGCATAAATATTACCAGATTTAAATAATAAAATGTAGTTAAATTGAAGTGTTAAATGAGCTACTTCATTAATCTTATTTGAAATAAAAGTAAAATTTGTATACAATTTCAATGAAGGTCTTGTAATCAGATGGTTTCTTCTTTGTTGCTTCTCAAGTGTTTCATCGGGAACCAAAGATTGAAAGGCCAAATTATCTGACTTTTGGATAGTATCATAAAACCTGTGAGATCACCGATAAAAATTGTTTGATAATATGATGTAATCTTAACTTATGTTAAAAGAAATAAGGTACTCGTATATATGCAGGACATACTTGCTAACTTATACAGCTTGGCTTTAAACTATGTTGTAGATAAATTGTGCAAAGTGTGTTCTGGCGATATTGTCGCAGAACGATGTCAAGTTCTTGCCTTAAAGTTTTTCTTTTGGGGAGTAAAAAATTTTGGTTTCCATTTTTGCAGAAATTTTCGAAAGATCTTATCTTTAAAACTATATTCAAAGGATGCCTTTCTTGCTTATCTGAGTGGAGAAAAAATAAAATTGCTTTTTCTATTCTTATATTAGAATAATGAAGTAAAGCATTTGGTTTTCTCTTCTACAGAATTTTTCGTTTTTTTTATTTACTTTTTTGTTGCAGTTATTACTTTTAATTAATTTATACATATTTGTTAAAATTCTATATTTCTGATACGCTATTATTTATTACAAGAACTAAATCTCAAAAACTCAAGTTTAGTAAGCCCATTTTCGAATAGTCTGATTCGCATGATTTCGCTGTCAATCGCTTTTTGGTAGTTACTGCTACGGCTTTCAAGGTTTTCGTTTTTTAAACCCCTTAATGATCGGTTAATTTTCAAGAAAATGGTCATAAAAGTGTCTATTTTTTTGGATTTTGTATTTGTATTATGCATTTGATTAGTGCTGCAACTAGTTTAAAATAAACTATCGACAATTACCTTAAAAATATTCTGGTACTGCCATCAGGTGTATAAAATGAGAAATAAAATGTTTTCCTGGCAAAAGAAATGAATTAGTTTTATTCTTATTGGCGCATTACTACTGAACACTCCAGCCGATCAATATCACGGGAGCAAGAAATAGCGAGCAAAAAATCGCCCTGTCATTTTCACTGGAGCGAGAAGGAAGAGGTTAATGTGATGATTATATACATTTAGGGAGAAAAGGAATAATTAGTGCCCCCCCCCCACAAAATGTAAGAATATTGCTCGTAATATTAAAATAAAAAAAAATTTTACCTATTCAAATAAAAAAAATATTTTATCTAAGCAGTTTTTTTTTTTGTATGTTGGCGCTTCGTTTACTTTTAATTAGTAACATGTATATTACAGATAGATATTATTAGCGCTAGATAGTCTTGTTGCTGAAACTGCTGCTGGGATCCTATGTTTTCTCTTAGTTTGAAATGCCTTTGGTTGTCCGTCAAATTTTAGAAACCCCTTTACAGCCATACAATTGAAAAGACAACGTAAACGATAGAAAGCTCAGAATTGAGATTTTTATGTATTTTCAATTTTGGTTTAGTGATCTACATATTGCAAAAATAAATTTACTTTTATTAGTTGTTTGAAATTCTATTTTAGCATTCATAGCATTAGCAGTAAGAAAAAAATAGTCTATCCACTTTTCTTGGATTCAACCGTCGAGCACTTGCATTGTTTTTTCAATTGCATGGCAGTGTACATATTAAATAGAATTCTTTTTCACAAAACTTTAGATTGGTCATAAATTTTTCGCCAACAGTGTAAGAATATTATTCCCAGTTTCTTCACTTAGAGAAATGATAAATTAATGTTCCTATTTTATAAAATTTTAAAATCTCAGGTCATCAATCATAGTTGAATTTCATGGTCATGGATTAGATAATGTTTTGATTCCTAATTCCGCTGTTATTTCATAGATTATTCATTTTGTNCCCCCCCCCCACAAAATGTAAGAATATTGCTCATAATATTAAAATATAAAAAAATATTACCTATTCAAATAAAAAAAAATTATTTTATCTAAGCAGTTTTTTTTTTTGTATGTTGGCACTTCGTTTACTTTTAATTAGCAACATGTATATTACAGATAGATATTATTAGCGCTAGATAGTCTTGTTGCTAAAACTGCTGCTGGGATCCTATGTTTTCTCTTAGTATGAAATGCCTTTGGTTGTCTGTCAAATTTTAGAAACCCCTTTACAGCCATACAATTGAAAAGACAACGTAAACGATTGAAAGCTCAGAATTGAGATTTTTATGTATTTTCAATTTTTGTTTAGTGATCTACATATTGCAAAAATAAATTTACTTTTATTAGTTGTTTGAAATTCTATTTTAGCGTTCATAGCATCAGCAGTAAGAAAAAAAAAGTCTATCCACTTTTCTTGGATTCAACCGTCGAGCACTTGCATTGCTTTTTCAATTGCATGGCAGTGTACATATTAAATAGAATTCTTTTTCACAAAACTTTAGATTGGTCATAAATTTTTCGCCAACAGTGTAAGAATATTATTCCCAGTTTCTTCACTTAGAGAAATGATAAATTAATGTTCCTATTTTATAAAATTTTAAAATCTCAGGTCATCAATCATAGTTGAATTTCATGGTCATGGATTAGATAATGTTTTGATTCCTAATTCCGCTGTTATTTCATAGATTATTCATTTTGTTATATAGTTTTGATTCAAAATAACAGTGTTTAATGCCTGTTTATCTAGATGATTGTGTGACAAGCTCTATGAAAGCAATATATTCCCACTTTATTGTAAATGTGACTGTGTCCATCTGGCATTCTACTCTTGCTAGGTGGACAAGCAGCAGCTCTGTGTCGCTCCTTACAGTACAGTGGAATATTCTTTTTTATGAGCAATCACCACGCAACCTTTCTATTTGGAGCTCATCTTGGTTTGGACCAGTATTAAATGAATCTTTGTAATTTATTTAGAGCTTTGTTGCACCAGTTTTTGCTGTAACAGTTTTTTAATTTTTTTTAATAGCAGAATTGAGTTGAAATACATTTCAATATAGTATACACTTCAATATTGGTTTGTGCTATGATCAATCTTTTTGTAGTGTCAATTGTTAAAATTTTGGGTGCATGTGTGGCAATTTGTGTTTTAATACTTTTTTAAAAAAATTATTTGTTTTACAGGATTTCACTAAGCATGTCTTATAGAAATCAATACAGTGGAAGCCCTTGGCAGCAAGGAGGCCCTCCTTTTGGAGTTGGAGGATACAGTTCAGGATATGGTGGATATAACGACCAATATGGAGTTTCTCATCAAATGATGAATTCTGGATATAGCCGTAATCAAGGTGGCTATGGTGGTGGCATGTATGGTGGAAGTGGCATGGGCGGCAGCATGAGAAATATGGGTTATGGTGGGCCATCCCGTTATCATATGAATGAAAGGATGAGCAGTAGATCTCTGCCCCGTGGCCAACTGCCTCGCAAGAGATTGCCTCAAAGGAGTCCAGCAAGTGGTCCTCGCTCTAAACGACCAAATATTGAAAGTGATAGGCGTTCTGTGAAATCCAGGCGACATAGAGATTCTAGGGGTGGATCAAAAGGGCGTCGTGACCGAAGTGATGAAGATGATGATACATACAATCCAGAAGAACCAACTGAAGATCTCTCTGATGCTGAGTGTGAGTCATTTGAATGTTGGAAAGCCTCTGATGAAGATGAAATGGAAGAAAATAAACAAAATGGGGAAGCAGAAACAAATGATGCTTCTGAGGAGGCTGATAAAGACAAAGAAAAGAGTGCTAATAGAAAGTTTTTGTGTTATGTTTGCAAAGTGAAATGCTCTTCCAAAGAAGTTCTTGACAAACATAACAGTAGCAAACCACATACTGAAAAGATAGAGGAACTGCTAACCATCAGACGAGAAAAGAAGAAAGATGGTTCAGTTGATGAGAAAGAAAAGTCAGATGACCGCAAGAAGTCTTCTCGAAAACCCGGTAACTGGTGCACAGTATGTGAGTGTGCTTTCAGTGGCAATTTCCTTGCTCATAGAAGAACAAAAGAGCACAGGAAGAAAAGAGATAAGAAATATCCCAAATGTCGCCCATGTCGACTAGGATTCAGTAGTTCTGAGGAGTATCGAGATCACTATAAGAGTGAGGAACACAAATTAAAATCTGCTGAATTTCATTACTTGAAAAACCTTGCCTCTGGATCTGATGATGATGAAGAAGCAATCAAGCCTGTTAAAATTGAAGAAGAAGAGTATGAAGAAGTTAAGATGGAAGAAGATACCGAGAAAACAGAAGATAAGCCTGAAGAATCTTCTGAAGATAAAGAAAAAGGTGATGAAGAGAAGTCTGATGAAAAGGAAGAAACAGATACTGAAAAGAAGGAAGAAAAAGAAGAAAAGAAAGAAATCAAGAAAAGACCAAAAGAGCCAAAATCTGTTGGACAATCTTTTGTTGTCTCAGTCCAAGGGTATTATTGTAAACTTTGCCACAAGTTTTTCAAGGATGTTACAGTTGCAAAATCCAAGCATTGTCGTTCAATAATGCATGCTGAGGCATTCAAAAAAGCTATGGAAGAAGCCATTGAGCAAGAAGAAGAAAGGCAGAAACTTGCAGAAGAGCAAGATAAACTGGATAAAGAAGCTGCTGATGCTGCAGAACGTGCTGCTGAAATAGCTGCCATTGAAAGATCGATAAAAGAGGCTATTAAAAAGGAAGCTGCTGCAAAGAAAGCAGCTACTAACAAAAAAGATAATGATGAGGATGAAGATGTTGAAATGACAGAAGTAACTGAAGATGAACCTAGAGAATCTGACAAAGAGGAAAAAGCTGAAGAACCAAGTACTGAAAATGGAACAAAGGATGTAGAAATTAAGGAAGATCCAGAAGAAGTGGAGGAAATCAAAGAAGAATCACCTGATGAAAATAAAGCTAAAGAAGTTGAAATTAAGGAGGAACAACCTGAAGAAGAACAAGAAGAAGCCAAAGAAGAAGTTACTTCTAGTAGTCCGGCTACAAGACGCGGCCGAGGTCGTGGCAGAGGCCGCAAAAGGCGTTAAACTAGAAGTTTGATAAATGGTACAACTAGCAAGCATATTTCCAATATAATGTAACATTTTGAGGAAATGTGACAGACAATTCGAGTGGATGTTTTTGTAACCGATTATCAGACTAAAAATTCCTAAAAGACTTTTAATGTACTTTATTTTAAATCACTTTTTATTAATTATTTGATCAACTCTTGATAGTACAACAATGTATTGGGGGGTGGGGAAAGAATAGAAAATTTTTTAAATTTTTCATTTTGTTTTCATGACTTCATTCATTTCACTACATTTCTCCTTTTTGTGGCTATGATTGCATTCTCTTTGTCAGTAAAATGTAGAATGACTCGTGTCTGTAGCTTTTTAAAGAATGCTGAATAAACATGAAATTCGTCTCAATTGCATTATAATTTATTTTTTTTTTGCTGTGAGAAAAGTTAGCATTTGATTACTACATTTTTTTTCCTATTAAGCAAATCTCATTTTTTAAAAAAAGATCAAGTCTGATTAACATTTATTGATAGGTTCTTAATGAAACATGTGGAATTTAGAATAAGATTTAATACAGTCTGACCCCTTGTAGGGAACTGACTGCGGGCTCAGCAACTAGTTCGCTATATCCGAATTCTTTGATAAAAGTTTTTCTCCCAGCATATAGTCAGAAGTAATGATTCCATTATTACCATATGATTTTAAATTATTAAATACAATAGTTGCCCTTCTATGAAATCTCTGCACAGCGAATTTTTCCCCAATAACAAGATTTTCATTGTAATGTTAAATTAACATTCAAACTATTCACCATATAACAAGTGGTTTTCACTTTAAAACAAATTTTTTCAGACTTGATCTTTTTGGTTTTCTTACCTTTGAAGAAAACTGTAATTGGAATTTCTATACAACCACCAATTCGGTACTAGTTGCATTATTGATTCCAGCGATAAAGCATAGGAAATGACTATTTTTATATATTCCTCTAAAATTTAATAAACTTATTATTACTTAATTTAATAAACTAAATTTATAAACTTATTAACTTTTTTTATGTAAGTCAATTATATACTTCAGAACTTAATAGATGAACTAAAAATTTTACATTCGATTAAATAACTGCAAAATTAAATTTGAGTACCTCATTTCACCACACAACTTTGATTTTACCACTGAAATTTAAGCCACCTCAAAATTTGTAAGTTACAAAAATTTGTGGTTCTCCCCCCTCCCTTTTACATGGTGGACACTAAAGGATGGGGGCTTAGATGTAAGGGAAGTCCTCCCATGGGACCAGCAGAGGGGAAGATATGAATTGATAAACTTAAGAATTGCATTTGCAGCAACCTTTTATTTTGTTTTCCTGGCATAAAACATTTATTTAATAGTGAGAATTGCTAAAATAGCAGTTTGAACAGACCTCTAATAAAATTCGATATAACAATGTTTACTCTATCTGGACTTGATTATTTCAGGGGTCAGCTTAATTCAGCACATTTAAGCAGGGTTTGTTGATTTAAATCAACTGATTTTTTTACGTATGTATTGATTTCTTAAGTTAAAAAACAGTGTTTTAAATTATTGATACTTTTATTATTTTCTTTTCTTAGTTTTAAAATTTATTTTTAATAAATTGCTGTATTAATTAATTTTAGTTAACCAAATTTCTTTCTTGGTGTGACATTTGTAATTAAATTTTTAAAAATCTTGAGATTGAAAGTACAGATTAAAGTACACATTTAATGCTGTCTTAATATAGACTTGTGTAGCTGAAAGTAATTAATACACATGAATTTAACAAAAAATGAAAAAAAACATAGAATTAAAATCTACATTATATTTTATTGATGGAAAATGTTTATTTCTAAAGCTTGAGGTTATATTGAAAAGGAATTACCCTATTAAGCCTAAAATAGAAAGAAAAAAAAAAGCTTATGAATTCAGATATTTTTATCCTGATATAGTAGTGTCATTCTGCCCTTTCAAAGTCATTTGAAGCATTAGAGTTATTAACTGGTATTTTTTTCTGATAATATGTTTACAGTATCTTTGACATCAGATTATGAAATTTTGTGGAAAAAAATGCCAATGATTATATAGAATTTTTGAAAAATTTTTTTTTAGCCTATCTATTTTGATATAGGATTAAAAATGACTATTTTAATTTAAAAATATATAGATTAAATATTTATTTTTTGAAGAATGACTGCATTTATTTACACAGTCTGTTACATTTATTTTGTCGTATTAAAAATCGAGAGAAAAAAAATCACAATTTTAAATTAAAATAATGGTTTGCTAATTGAAATTTTGTTTTAATAGTTAAAGAACAGGGAGGGGTCTATCCAAGCCAAATTTACTAACTCTTAGCGATACCTTCTCAAAATACTTTTTCTTAAAATTTTATTTTTGTGTTGATTTTGATTTTTAATTTTCACAAATTGTGTCTAAAGTTTCACGAAATAAGTACCTCTCGGAAGAATGTAGACAGACCCCTGAAATATTCTTTAAATTCTCTATTTCATCTAGTTTTTAAATATCAATCATGCATTTGTTTCAAAATGGTTGCTATGCATTATAATGAAAAATTATTTTAGTAAGTTAGAGCTTCTATAATATTGTTTTGATATTAATTTAATTTTGATTAAATATTTATAAAGCTTTTTTAATCATAAATTAAAGTTCTTACAATGTATTTGAATTTTAAAAAAAAATCCGATTTAAATACCAAAAAAAAAATCGTGAACCCTGCATTTTAAGTCTTCGCTCTATTCTTAAGTAGACATCCACAAAAGGAACTCTGAGATGTTTTGGGGGCCTTGAACAACTGCTTGCGTTCGTCAATCACTTAATACATCATGACATGCACTCAATATCATATTTGTTCACTTATCTGTTTTCTATAGATCCCTAGGGCTATATAATTGCTCTCTTCCCTTTTTGAATTCTCTCAAAATGTAATATATTATGATTATATATTTAATATAATGGAAATAATTTGATTTAAGAAAGTCCTTAAAAGTTAGAGTAACTTTAAACTTACTGCAAATACTCTCAATAAAAGGAATTTTTTACACTTTTAAAGAAACGAAAATTAAAAAGAAGAANATATTTGTTCACTTATCTGTTTTCTATAGATCCCTAGGGCTATATAATTGCACTCTTCCCTTTTTGAATTCTCTCAAAATGTAATATATTATGATTATATATTTAATATAATGGAAATAATTTGATTTAAGAAAGTCCTTAAAACTTAGTAGAGTAACTTTAAACTTACTGCAAAGCTTTAAACTGCAAATACGCTCAATAAAAGGAATTTTCTGCACTTTTAGGTGATATTTTCCCACTCTAATCAAAGTACAATGGATATACCAAATCAGTTTTTTTTTTTTTAATCTTCAGGCTATATTTAGGCCAATAGAGGCAGAAGGTACTAATTCCAAGTATAAAGGTTTTCATACTTGACGGTGTTTTTCGAAGCTCTTTAGCCAAACCAAAATAAAGGCCAATTGAAGTGCCTTACATTTGATCCAAAGCTATAATTTTCAACTATATCATCTCGCTATAAATGATTATATAGGCTTTAGAGTGAGCTAATAATTAAAAAAGGATTTTAAAAATCAATTTAGCTATGTTTTTTTAATTTAGAAAATTATCATTCAATAAACAATTCTTAAATTTTGTTTATTTTTATGGGCCTGAATAATCCAATGTTTGAAAATAATTTAAATATTAAAAAATGGATCACAAACTTTTCATTTTTCACGAAACTATGGCCTTTCTTCATATCAGCGTTTTGCACAAATGGTGCTGGATAAAGATTGGCAAAAATTAACAGTCGTGACTAAGTGTTGTAAATCACATCAGTTTTATAAATTGCATATTCGCTAAAAAGCATTGTTTCATGCGACAGCAGAGCTTTTGAAAAACAACTCCTTTGCGGTATTTTATTAGTTTTAAAGCATACTTGATAGCTACCTTTTCCGCAATAAAAGATTTTCGATGCATCATTTTACCCATTCATCTTTTTACCCGTTTCTGCTTATCAATATGTGACGTCTACCTGTAAAATTCATGATTACTAAACTTTTGAATTATACCTTAACTCTAAGGTTCATATAACTCTTGTAAGAAATTTTCTTTTTCGTTGTTCGAATAGAAAGGATGTAGAATTTAATTGCTCAAGAGGTAGTATTGGCAATACTTATGGCACCGAACATAAAGGGTGTTACAAAAGTTAATCTAAAGCTCATCACTATGTCTGATTAAAAAAAAAAAGAAAATCGCACTCTCATTACTAAGTTTGATTAAAAAAAAAAAAAATCACAGGTGCCTCAGAGTTATGAAAGTCATCTCTAAAAAAGGAAAACTAAAGCAATTTTTTTATTATTAAAATCAAAGTCGCTAGATAAATCCGACTAAATTAATGCCATTTTAATTGGCTATTTATTCAGGAGGAGAAATGAATACTCAACAGATGTGTAATCATTGAGGACAAGTAAATGCTAATACGGATATATTTAATTGATCTTTTCCTCAAGTGGTTTTAGAACCTTAGTTCAAATTTAAGAAATAACAAGTATTAATTTTCATCATATATTAATTTTGATTATGTGATTTGTATTGCTAAAATGCAGAAAAATTTTAACTTCTTATACTTTCTAATGAATACGACATAATAAAAATTATTATAAAAAAATTTTTTGAAAAAAAATTATTAATTTTTTATAATGAAATCTTGGTTCTTTTATACAATGTCTGTCTCAGTCATTATTTTTTTATCTCAGTCAGATATTTAACCCTACTATACTTTTGATTGTACTTACAAATATAAACTGAAATCGAAGCTTATATATGCTACATTAACAATATTTAAACATCGTTTATTTTGATAACTTAGTCTGGTAAAAACTATAATTTTCTTTTTTCCCTAAAACCTTTTGCAATTACCCTTAATAGGCTTTCTTTTGAACTGACAAAAAACATTCTTACTCTCAATGTTCATCTATCTTTCCATGTAAGCTTCAATATATTATTTGCTAAACTTTCAACATCTGACAAATTTATTGCTCTTATTAGCATTAGCTCTTGAATTCAAAATATTTTGACAAGTGTGTAACTCTTACAACACAAACATTGGAAGAAAAACGTTAGCATGGAAAAAATTAAATGCGAAAAAAAAAAAACATGTTTAATTGACAGGAGATTTTGAATTTTATCTCTTGGGTTTGTCAATGTCTATCATATAACTTTCCAATTTTAGACAGAGATGAAATACTCTTTACTACACAATATGCAGCGATAAGATGAAAAGCTGTAATAGCATGTTGTATAGCTTTCTCATGGCAGATACAGCGTCCGCACTAAGCACCTCGTCAAATAGGATAAAATAGTAAATTTGGTGAAACAAATTGCGTTCTATGGAAAAAAATATATATAATCCCCTTGATCCTGAAATCAATGTGAATTTTTCTGAGCAATTCTTGTATTCAATTACAATAATTTCCGTTAGATATATCATTTAACTAATTAAAATTATATTGAGTTCAGATAATGTAAGCAACAAGAGAGATTATGTAAGCATAGAAAACATGTAAAATACTAATTCACACGTTAGTTGCCATATCATGCAACATGGTGTAAGAAAGCTATTTCCCTACAGTTAGTGTCAATGAAGCAATTAAGTGATTCTAGAAGATTCGGATAATCACCCAGCTATATTTCCAGAAAATATGTGTCCTCATGGAAACATCATTATTTAATAGAATAAACTTATTGTAAAATTTAAAATGGTTACTAAAATAAGAAAATTTAACTTTGACTTTATCTTTATAGATTTCCACTTTTTAATGATAGATAAAGTATAACCACCTGCTGTAAAAAAATTCTCTGAGAAGCATAAAAACTAATGAAACAGAATTAAATGATTCAAATAACTTATCTTCTACCACAATTTTTTTTTTTTTTTGATGATTACAATCGAGACAGTAAAAAATAAGTGAGAGAGTAAAAATTATTTTAATAAAAAATAAAGGACTTAAAGAATAAAACGTTTTATTTATATTTATTTAAAGGATAGTCAGAATTTTAACAAATTATCAAAGGTTGTTTCAGGGTTATCCTTGTATTACTAACGTAGTCTATTAAGTTATCAAGAATAACTCCAACCTATTCTTATTCCTCAGACTAAACAATGATTAATTAGCTCCTTACTGTGAAAACCCTCTCAGCGAACATTACAAAGTGTTATTTAATTGTATATTCATATGAAAAAAAAAAAAAAATTCAGATTTCATTTCATCTTTTTTTAAATTCTTTACTTATTATAATACATTAATAATGAGGTTGTTTACAACAAGCTATCACTGCTTGGGGATGAAGTATGAGGTGTTTGATATTTTAGGGTGAAGAAACCAAAATACAGTATCATCAGTTCTCATAATTTCACAATTGGAAAAAAAAAAGCAAAACTTAACAACTAAAATATGCAAAAGTTTGTCCTGGCTACTAGTTACACCTTTTGAGTTAGTCTAGTCTCTTTTTGTGATATATGTATATATTTTTTTACTGACTTACTTATGCCAATACAATGTATTCATACATATATAGAAAAAGAGGTATTTAAATTCTGTTATATTCAAATCATTTAACTGAAATGGATGTAGTTTAATAATTATACAAGAAAAATTTAAGTATAGAGCAGCAAACTATTACAGAATACACATTGCACTATATATAATAAATTTATTCCAAATTTTTTATAATACAATAAGGTGAAATGAAATTAGTTTAACACCTCATATATTTTTTTAACATCAACTGAATTATTTAACAGTAAATAGAAAATAATATTACATTTTGAATGAAGTAATTTTTCTTTCAAACATATAAAAAAAAAATTTTCATAAAAAATTAATTTAAAATAAAATAGCATAAAATGCTATCATTTCTATCTTAAATAGCTAATTTAGCTTAACATATCAATCAATATTTAACAATGAAATTAAATAATTACATATCACTATAGAACGGATTAAGAATATCAGTATTACGAACACTGGGTTGTGAAGAGTTTGTTACAATTGTTACTTTATTAAACACACCTCTACCGAAATAATCAGCAACTACAGCAAAACCATCGTCAGCTCTTTCCAACTGGTTATGGAATTGTTCATGTATGTCTTTGTTTTGTTCTTGTGATCTAATTATTCCAAGAACTTTCTGGTTTTCTGACAAACAAAGAGGACATTCAGAATCATGTTCAGCACTGTAACTCTCAAAGCACTGTTGATGATAAGAGTGACTGCAAAGGAAATGTACAGAGGGCAATTCAAGCTGATGAGCGCAGCCACTACACTTGGATACTTGGAAAATCTTGGGATTCGTTTTCAATTCTTCCATTTGGTTTCTCATTTTTTCAGTTTCTTCTCTATACTGTTTGATCAATCTTTCATCCTCAGAAATTTGCTCATTTTCTTTCTGTAAATATCGAATAATGTAATCTTTAATTAAATCTAAGGTTGCAGTGTGGCTTTTTGCCATTATGTCTACCACTAGAATAGGTGATAACAGGTTATTCCTCTCTATTTCACTTAATATTGTCATCACATAAGGTTTTTGGCTTTTTTCTTCCTGACAGAAAAACCATAAGGCTTGAACCCATAAATTCGGATCATAGTTACCAAAAAGTTCACAGGTTCTCATAATAGCCTCAAAGTCTCTATTTTCAATGTGATAAAAGATAATTTGTTGGTACAATTTTGCCTTTTCATACAAATGTAAGATTCCAGGTTTAAAATCACTCATTTGACACAAAACTAGAGCTTGATTGATGCTATAACTTGCATCAGAATTTTTCAGCATTTCCATTATTTTTAGTTCCTGTTTCTTTTTAGCAGCTGGATCTGTTTCTTTGCTGTAAGCTTTTAAACACAATTCCAAGTAAGTATTATATACAAGAGAAGAGGATGTTGGTCTAATCTTAATCATATGCTCTAAAAACTCAAGAAGTCGCTCTGAATTGTTAACGAAAATATGAATGAATTCTTCAGGATTAGCAGACATACTTCTATCTGGAGTTGTTGCATAAGCATTATAATCAGTACAAAGTCTTTTCAAAAGTTGGGTTGTTTGTTCAGGTACTTCAGTCATCAAAACCTTCCCATAAGTTTTCATATTTCCTTCGGCAGCTTCAAAATCTAGCTTTGAAATGTATTTCAAAGCTTTATCATAATCTTTAAGATCCTCTAGAAGTATCTTAAGGTACCAATCATGTTGATCATGATGCTCTGCTAAAAACAATGCATGTTTATAATAACCCGCTTGACGACAAACTTTCATTGCTGTTTCAACATCGAAATGAATTTCTCTATCTTTTGTCATAATAAATTCATCTAGTTTTGAAATATCCTTCAGTTTTGTATAACAGTTTAGTAGAAGAGTTGTATGGTCTTCTGTGGCCAAATCTTTCTTATGAAGAGCTTGTAAATAGGCAGTCAAATTATGGATTCGTTGGGCATCAAGAAATTTTCTTATAACATAAGATGCCTCTAATTTTCCTATGGTTTTTATATACTGAGTTATAGCACCATCATGATCTCCTTTACTATATAGATGATCTCCATATTGCCTAAATATATCAATCAAACCATCTTCATCATACATCTGACTTTTAGCTAAGCTTATTAACAAAGCATATTGATTCTTTTTAAATAACATATCAAGTTTACTCTGGGTATCTTTTTCTTGCAATGTATAAAGCTTCCCATCTTGAGACAAAATATACAATGATCCCCATTCAGATATGACATCTACAACTGCAGGTAGTGGTGCAGAATAGGCAATAAACTTATTTTGTATATCATATACTGTTACAATGTTCATATGAACAGGTGAGGAGGTAATAGCTGAAGAATGCACTGCTTTACTATCTTTACCAACCACAACTAAATAACTTCTAAACCAGTATAATAATATTTTTTCACCATCAAATGCTAAGCAAGGTCCTCGACCATCATGTTGATAAAAGTAAACAGCATCTTGTCTTCCAATCACAAACTGATGATCTTGCTTGGCATCACTAAGAATAGAACATTTTGGGGGACATCCGTGATTGTCAAGCAATGTCTTTGTTTCTTTATCTTTGACAGACAAATTAAACGAATAAATCTCATCATTTGTTGCAGCAAACATAAAAGTCTGCTTGCCATGTGTTCTGAAAGCAAGTCCAGTCAGAGGATTGTTGCTAACTTTGAAAACTTTTTGTTTACTTTGTCTTTCTCGAGTTATATCTCCTCTTGCAAGCAATACAGAACCATCAGAAAAACCAGAAGCGAGAAGATTCATGTTTTCATGAACAGTAATAGATGTAATTGGAAAAGCGATACCTTGAGGTCTGATATTCCTGATACATAAAGGCTTACCCATTCGATCAGCTTTTTCAGTGTTCCATACTTTAATAATAGAGGTGTCACCAGGTTCATCATCTCCAACAGTAACTAAAATTGGATTGAGTCTAAGTTGCTCGATATATGTCACTTTCTGTTCATAAGCTTTAAAGGACTGGAGTTGAAATTGCCTATTTAAAAAATATACATTGCCTTCAGAATCTCCAAGCAAAATCTGCCCCCTCCCACTTTTAGTACAAGTGACTTTAATATCTTTCAACTTCTCATAAACTTGCGATGTTTCAGGGTCTTTAACAACATCTTTTTCAAAGAAATTAAATCGTCTCCATTGCAAAAAAGCCATAATGAGTATAAGAAATTTATTCGTAAACGAGTAAATTATGACATAATCTGTACTGCAATAACAAACAGTAGCCAAATAACATGATATTGATCATTGATTGATCATTTTATATCAAACTTTAATTTACAGTACCCGTAGTAGTTTCAAAAAGAATGAAAACTGAAAATAACAGAGATTTTAAATATAAATTGTCAATTTTTATTGAAGCACTTTAAACTTTTTCAGTTTAAAAAGAATAATAAGTTTGACGGTTTGAAATTTCTGCATTATTTTAGTTTCGAATTTTCCTGGTTTAATAATGTATAAAAGAATTTAAATGGTTAAAAATTACAATTAAGTGATAACGAGCATTTTATGAACATGATTTTAAGTAAGTTAATTGATTTAAAATAAAAAAATGCTTCCAATTTAAATTTTACTTTTTGTGATTTTAACTGCAACCGATGTCCGCGGTTTGCGCTGCTGCTGTTGTCTGCCTGTGTTATGCTCTGCATTATTTCTTGTTTACAAAAGAAATGTTTTGAATTTGTTGTAGCTAATTGAAAGCTTATTTTTAAAAATAATTATTTTACATTCAAGGAACATTTAACGACAAGTATTTCCAGCCATCTAAGAAAACAAGCGCTTGTGATTTCTGTCATGCATTATTTAAAAGCATTCGATTTGGTGATCGAATAAATATTTGGTGAGCTTTGTCGTTTTAAAGCATTAAAAGGTTGTTATTGTTAAATGTAGTGCAAAATATTACCATCTGGATTTCGATTAGTTGACGTTTTTATATACTTCTAAATTACTTGTTCTATGCATTAAAATATTTCGCGCAATGCATTCTCTCACTCATTCACAAGAAATGCCCCTTGTTACCAACTTTTGCAATGTCAGTTTCGCTCGTAACAATGGCCTTCATTGTCAGTATATTCCACATAATCAAGAAGAAACTCATACCTGTAATATATGCAATAAAAGTTTTTCAGAAAAAAGCAATCTGAAAATTCACTACATGAGTCACGCCTCTGCAAGTCCGTCTATGACTGATATATGCTGTAAAACTTACAATCAAAAGCCACAACCTACTCAAAACAATCACACAAACTCTGAAGAAAAGCCTCACATGTGTGAAATTTGTCACAAAGGTTTCGTTTCTAAGAGTGAATTAGTATCCCATAGTATAACCCACACCAAGGAAAAGCCATATATGTGCGACATGTGTAATAAAGGTTTTGCTGATAAGTGGCATTTGAAAAGACACTATTATATCCACACTAAGGAAAAGCCACATGTGTGTGACATATGCAGCAAAGACTTTGCTCGAAAGGACCATCTTCAGAAACATTATCGTACTCATTCTAAAGCTAAATCTCCCATGTAAAAGAGTTATCCCCCATGGTATGATGCATTAAAAATGAATGATCTCGTATAAAAATTTTATGTGTAGTTTACAAAGTTTTGTACCCCCGACTTATTTTAGTAGTTCTTTAAATGTGTGTGGTATGTAGATGTATGTATCTTATCTTTGACATAGAACTTTGAAAAATATTGTGATAGCTTAAAATAGATGTCTGATCCTTTTTAAAACTTTCTTCTGAACCAGGGGTCTCCAAATTGTTTAGCCTAAGGGTAACACTAACTTCTCCAGTGAGAACTGAAGGCCATAAACATGGCCAGTGAAAGTTTTTAGCTTTAATTTAAGAAAAGTCTTTTTTCCATGGTTATGGGACTACCTTCTATTTTCCAAGGCATTTGGATCATCACATTGTGAGTCATTGCATAATTTATTTTCTCACCAGTTAGCTCAACCTACAGCAAAACATTGAAATATATTGATTTATTTTCCCATTAGCTATCTCATTCGACAGAAATTTATTGAAATATTTTGATTTATTTGCTCTCTAGCAATCTCATTCTATATCAATATTATTAAAATATGACTTATATTTCCACAAGTTATCTTATCCTACAAGCAATATATTGAAATATTTTGGCTTAATTGCAGGATAGTTTGCTTATCCTACAGCAACAATTAGTAGTTTTAAAATGTATAAAATTTTTTAGTTAGGTAGTAACTGAGATAACTATTGTGGTCAGGTAGAACACTTTTTATAAATTTTTGAGTAAATTACGTATCTTTGATAAAATCAAAATGTTAAATTTTTTATGTACAGTAGGGAACCGATTAACCGGAATGATTGAGACCATCGCTATTCCGGATAACCGATTTTTCCGGTTTTCCGAATCGTTAAAAAAAGCCGTTTTTTTTATTGTTAAACCCAACTTAAAAAAAATATATATTTGGAAATAATCTTAAAGAGAAGAAAAAACGGAGTAATACACTAATGATTATTTCCAAAATGATGGAAAGGTAAACATCTTTCAAAAAAGAAAAAAAATCCTGAAATCTTATGAGGAAAAAAAATTTTTTTTTAAAACAATGGCGGGAAAATTTATCGAATTTCGTTCCTGTTTTCTGATTTCCGGATAACGGGTTCTGTACTGTATATCATTTATTGCTTTTTTTCTGAATATAATATTATGCAAGATTTATCTATTAAACCCTAAATTTATTATATAATTCATATAAATTTTAGCGATTTCGATGCCTGGTATGTCGGATCTACTGCCATATCATGGGCTAGTTAAGTGATGTTAGTGGGTTGATTTTATCTGCCAGTCTTAATTTGGAGACCTCTGTTTTAAACCTTAAATAAAATAGAATTGAAAAAAAAAATGATCTGATGACCGAAAAAGTATAAATTTGTTATTAATGTGAAATGAAAACTGTTCAAGTTTTTATTTATTTTTTAATATGAAGTGGAATTCATTAAAACAAATTTAAAAAAAAATTATCAAGAGAAAAAGATTTAAAAATAAATACCATTGTTTAATATAATTTTAATTTTGGCAGTCTGTTTTCATACTTTAATTTGTATGAATTTTAATTTCAAACACTGACTTATTTTTGTACACAATAAAATAAGACTTGTACTGTAAAAATATCTTATTTTCTGATATTTATTCCAATTTGTCAATTTTTTATGCATTATTAAACTGTTTTAAAATGGGAAATAATTCTCATGAAAATTTCTATTCATAAAGCAGATTAGTTTGTTGAATGTAAAACCATTACTATTACATACTACAATTATATGCAAAAAGTATTATTTCTATTACAATTAAAAATATTATTGTAGTAGTTCATATAAGTTTCGCATGTCAAAATAATAAACTTATATTGATACCCAGGTTGTACTCATTTTCTTTTTCAAGTGAAGAAAATATTCTTTTTTATAATGTTTTCTTTTAGAAGTAATATATTCAATGAAAAATTGTTGTGAATTTGAATTTCAAACCCCACTTGTTATAAATTTATTTATTTTTAATTACAAAATGAATTTAAACTATTTATGACATAAGTAAATTATCATATGTTAGTAAATTTCAGTTTATTTTTATTTAAATTTTTTTCTTTCATTATTCTAATACTGATTTTTTCGAATATAAGCCGAGAATTTTTAGAAAATTTTCAAGAGCTTAGGTGAATAAGAGTACATAAACAAAAGAAAAAGTACACACTGAAATACAATGAATTCTGTATCAGTGTCAGATTCTTTGTTAAGTTCAGCAAATTCTTGTTCAGCCATCGGACGGTACTAAATGATAATTTCATAGACTTTACTTATTTTTACTGATGCAACATTTTTTAAAAGATCTAATTGCAATGACAAAAGGTGTATGCTTCTTTTACCCACGGTGAAACTGCTACTACAAGAGTACGTTCCATGGGTAGTATGCCTTATTTTTTTTTAGATCAGTTTGTAAATGAGTTTTGGATGGATTTCTAAATAAAAACCTTACTATTTAGCATATACATGTTTGGGCTAATTTTCAGAAATATATTATGGTAGGCATTTTTTATAGAAAAGCAAATACAAAATAATATTTATAACATTTAAGGCACACCTCAGAAATACAGGGGCCCTAAACCCGAGCCTCTCAGACCTTATAATAAATCAGTCAATATAATTCAATGTAATAGATGTAGCTGCTACTACTCCATAAGAGCACATGGTTGCATAATTTGTCTGAAATAGAATGATATTATTATATTTCCGTTCTTGTTTATTCAATAATTACCATTTTTAATTGACATTTTTTTAAGGGAATGCATTATCCTTGCATTGCAATATTATAATTGGCAATATTTAACTTTTACACAACCTTATGTTAAATTTTATTTAGTGATACTTTCATCAACTGCTACGATTGATACAGGATGAAAGTACAGTAACATCATATATATTTTTAATATATCTTTTGTGACATTTCTAAGCATTTTCACATAAAAATTTGTTGAAAAAATGAACCGCAAAATTTTGCTTAATGATTTTTTGACTTATATGGAACAAAATGATATTAACTTTATTTCATTTATTTTATTTAACAAAGCATATTTCAAATAAATTTTGCATTTCAAAGGATTATATAAAATTCACGAATTGCCCTCAGTTACATTAGTATTTTATATGCTCCGAGCTTAGCATGTTTTATATTAAATAAGTTTTGCTTAAAATTTTTTACTATATATTCCTTGACGCATATTGGTATTTTCAAACATATTCAAAACCAACTTTTAATCTGAAATAAATTTCATGTGACATTCGTATTACAAAAAAATATGAAGAAACCACGAAGTTTGCGATAGGTATGCACAGAGCTTAGCATGTCTTAGTGGTTCTTAATTGTTAAGCTGTAGAATCATCTTCACTTTATTTCTTTTTTTTTTAACGAAGCATGTTTCAAATAAATTTTGCATTTCAAAGGATTATATGAAATTCATAATTGGCCATCTTCAGTGGAAACCCGAGTGACAATTGAATGTATAAACCAATAAAAGATTGCTAATTATTTTGAAATATGTTTTATGAAAAAAAAAGATATTTTTTAATCGTTTTATCATTATTAATCTTAAATAAGTTTCTATTAAATTCGGTAGTTGAATTCACAATCTTGGAGTTTCTTTTAGCATAGTTCTGAATTTTATTCTAGTCATGCAGGTAATTTGGTAAAGTGTAAATGTCCCAGCCATTCCTGAGGACAACGAAAATTTTTGTTTCCACCAAACACTTTTTGACCCATCCCCCCCCCCAAATTTTTTAAAAATTTTACTCATGATTACAGTTGACGAATTAATTAGGATTGAAATCAAGAAGAAAGTAATAATATTCATGTTAACTAGTTAGGACTTTCTCTTCACCTCCAGAAATCTTTCATTTTACGTGCTGTACTTCACTTTTCTTTCACTCTTATGACACAGTTTTATGGTATGACTACTCTTCATCTTTTACAAAAAGAATTATTAAAAATTTGCTATTCCTTTAGTTAAGTTGGTTTAGTTAAGTCCTTTAGTTTAGTTCAATTAGTTAAGTTACAGCTAAGTATTCTCTGAACTTGCATGTTTTGGATTAAACAAGTTCTCCCGATAAATTTTTAATCCGTTATTTTTTTCTTTCATAGATGGGTATTTTAAACAAATTAGTACTAACTGTTTAATATGAAAATAGTTTCAATTAAATTTTGGATTGAAAAAAATTATAAATAGTTCACAACCTGTCCTCCCTTATGTTAGCAATATCTGTGTTCTTGTTTTACTTACATTTTGAATTGGATAAGTAGTTCTTAAAAATATCAATAATTATTTTTTGAGTATTTTCAAACAAATTAGTGCTTATTTTTATTATGAAAAAAGTTAAAAATTTACTTTTAAATCGCAAGAAATTATGAAAAGCTTGAAATGTATGCATTTCCTCTAAAATTTTGCAACAAGAAAAATTTTAATTTGTCATTTTTCAGACTTTGTTCCTCTTTCTTTAATAAGTTTTTCTGCCTTTTTATTAAAGTTTTAAATAGGAAATATTTTTTTAATCACATTGCTTTGAATTTCACGGATGATTTTTTTTTCGTGCTTTAATTTAGAAAGCATTGTGTAGTAGGATTTATAATATTTGTATGTTTAACTATTAGTGCGTGTATTCTCTTAGCCCTAAAATATCTCAGTAGATGGCAGCACCACAGCCCCATATGTTTGTTTTTTTGTGAATATAAAAGTTTCAGTCATGTGGTTAGAATATGGTTAGAAATATTTTTTTTTTCTTCATTTTTTTCACATTCATTTTTCTCTCGAGTATTATTTTTATATTTTTTTATTATTCATTATATTATCTTTAAAATCAAGAATATTGTGTAAATAGTTTAATCATCAGAAGAAATTAAGTCTTTTAATTTTTTTTTTCATTTCGTACTTAAAAAAAAAAACAAAAATTTCTAAGTTTTTTTTTAAATAAAAGTAAACACCAGTAATTTTTTTAAAAATACCATTATTAATAATTACATGCTCATGATATTTCGGAGTATGTTTTCTAAGTACTTCATTAAAATTTTTTCTTAGTTTATCGCAAGTTTCTCAAATAATGACTAGACTTAGCGATTTTATCTAGTTTTAGCAATTACTTTTTTTTTCTTCATAAAAATTATAAGATTTGCCAATCTTTTATCAGTCTATGATTGCATTTTAAAAATGTAAAAAGAATTTAATAATGAGTATTGGCG